ATACACCGAGTCCACCCAGTGCGCGTAAGTCCAATATCTAGGTTAATAAAAGATATAACTTAATTTTTTTTTCTACAGAGTTGCCTACTTTCCCGAGCTGCACATAATGAAAATATATTTGCATATACAGGGTGTTCAGTTTTTCCTGGGCAGCTAAGTTAGCTTACGACTATGAGTATTCTTTTTTCAAAATTCTGTTCATCCAAATTTTTTAATCTCCAATTTCACTAATAACTTTCCTAACTACGGTAACAATGCTTGATTTTCAATCTGTTACGGATGAAACTTCTTCAATATTTTATTTGTCAAGCTTTTGAAAACTCCAAGGTTACTACTAATTTCCTGGCACTAATATTTGGATTTTCAACAGCAGACGCCACAACTTTAAACTAAATATTTTCGTTGTTACTTTCATGTCTCCTGGTAGTTTTCTCATAATTCGCATTTGCTGTTCATTCAAACCTTTCCTTCACATTTTCAAAACAGTGGGAATCTCTGTAAATGATTATTTGCTTTGTAAATACGTGCTGCTAGCAAACATTTCCCATATTTTGCTAATTCTTAATCACTTGTAGCGATTTTATGGTTTTTTGATTTTATTTACAAATAAATGGTAACTTTCCATAAAGACTTATTTTATTAAACTCAAATAAATAAATTTTTCAGTTATTAATTTTCATTTTAAATAGTGTAGCTAACTAATAAATTTAATAAAAATAAATAACCTTACAATATTTTTCCCGACAAAGGAACGTGCGAAAATCCGTTTTTTTTACATAAAAATGGGTTTTTACAAAAACTACGCTACTTAGGTATGGGGAAAGCTATTAAAAAATTGTAGGGTCTACAGAAAGGCATCTAATGAAATCATAAAACACAGGGTGTTCTATTTGAAAAAGTCGAGATTTTTCAAATTTTAAATTATCAGGTTTGGCACGATTTTTTTTGCCCCCTGTATATCGCAGGTCAACTTTTGATACGTTTTTTGAAAGAGCCATCTTAACTCTATACAGTTCCTGAAAAAAAAAAATTTCTAACTGTCATACAATCTTAATTATGTCAACTACTAGAAGTGACGAAACATAAGAAAAAAAATGAAAAGTCGATTATCTCGAAAACTATCGATATTTTAATAGGGATCATGACACAAAGTCCCGTTAATTTTTCACGTAGAATTCGATAATATTTACTTTACTGCGTACAATATAGTATGCAGTAAAGTATACGCTGTTTAAAATTTACGAATTCACGCTGTACACCATGTTAGTAACACTAGTTTATTACTAAGTATGTTTAATCCTTCGTATCATTGGCACGAACGATAATTTCGCTCTTCTCATTCGACATCACCTTCTTGGTCCGCTAGGCAAGCAACCCGTTAGTCCGTCTGCAGAAGATTATACAATCACTGCCCGGAATCATTATATCTGGCAACGTATCCGTGTCGGAAAACAATTCAAGACATGGTAATTAAATTTCACGCATACATCAGAGGGTAACGAAAATATGGTCAGTCGTTTGCACATAAAATTTCATGTGCAGTAATTGAATTAACTGGTGTTCATATTAATACGTATATTTGGGCAAATTTTTAGCAACTGATTAGTGTAAAATGTACGTAGAACACGATCTGTTTACTTGAAATTTAATGGAACAGACTCGTTATGCCATTAATGTCATATCTTTAGTAAATATTTACGCAGGTACCAAAATGACGCGAATTTAACCAGATAAAAATAGCGTTAGCCTTGGTTTAGATGCACAATTACCATTTTGTTTATGTTGACAACGGCCATACTTGGATTTGATACATATATTATTTCCACGATTGTTTTTCGTTGCCAAAAAAAAAAAATCAGGAACCAACAGTCGATTCAAATGAAATAAATGTAACAAACACGTTATAAAAGATATCCATTTCGGTAGAACCCTTCAAGTAAATGAATATGGTCAGTTTAATTACAACTTGGCGCAGCAGGGGACACGAGAGGGTTGTGTTTAGACCACCCTAAGTGATTTAATATGTGTCGCAAAAGGGGGAGTAATTAATCTCTTAAGCTGATGTCCTGCTGCTGTTTATATGTCCCGTTTCGTTTGACAAGGGTGTAAGGGATTTAAAATGGCGTCTACATTAGCATTTAAACTCTTTTGCCGAAGTAAATGTTCGCTGTAATTGTGAAATATAATCCGAGATTGAATTTTAAAGTTCAGTGATTTTTCAAATAATTCAAGAGACATTTAAGACAGTTGCTGTCATTTAATGACATTGTTTCCAACGCAATTGCGGAGGTGATTTGATTTTTGGTTAGCTTTTGTCGTTTCATCAATGAGCAGAGAGTGCATGATAGGTTTTTCTATTGAAAAACATATCTTTTAAGACAGGTCAATAATAATTAGTTATTTTTTAGATTTTTAGATCGATATTGGTACGTCCTGTGTATATTCACCACACCTATAGGCGAGCGGTTCACCCCTAAAAAAATGCATGAACCGTCTAAATTTTTAAAACAAAAACCTACAGCATACAACTTTTTTATTTTATAGTGTATTTTTCTGATAATTTACATATTTTTTTTTATATTTTTCGGCGTGGTCAGTCAATTATTAACAAAGTTGTAAAAAAAATTACTCGCGGAATGGCTTTGAAAACAGTTTTTTTTGTTGTAAAATGAACCAAAATAAACACATTTTGTTCTTTGACAAAAATTCGAAAAATGCTTTGTTTCCGAGATATTTACAATTTAATGTGAAAAGTGACGAAATCGACAAACTTTCGGAATTTTTTCTCAAAAACTACTAAATAGATTTTAATTCTAAAAAAGCATAATAATCGGCAGATTATTATGAAATCATTTTATTGAAGGTCTAAAGCGAGTAAAAAAGTCTTAAAGAAAATTATGATGACACTTTAAATTCAAATTTTCTCTTTACAATGTCTTGGACTAGATCAATATTTCGATACAAATTATACATGCAATCATTTGGAAGCAAACACAAGAATTATATTTCAAACACTTGAATTACAAAAGCAGAGCAGTGATAATAACATGGAAATAATAGTCTCCAGATACCGATGTATTGGTTTCACTTGTTGCACATTATCACATATTTTTTATGGAACCTCTAGTATGTTTTCACAGGGGAAACATTGTCAAAAATGTCGATCATTCACGATTGATACCTGTACATACTATAGCAAAAATGAATGGGCCAATAAAAAGTAAATAATGCAAGCTATCAATGGCTGTGATACGACATGTTCGATATCTAATATTGGAAAAAAGACTGATTTAAAGGCTTTAAATAAACTTACAAATGATGCATTAAAAATATTTGCTAATTTAGAAAATTTAACTTTAGAAGATGCGCTTGAAATTTTGACGTTATATTTATCAGAAATTTATGATTCTCAAAATAAATGGAAATATCGAAATCTATAAATAAATTAAGACGTACAATTGCTTTAAAAAAATGCTGCTGGCGATAGATTGGCACCTTACCCACCATTATTGCAACATTATTTGAGGTCAAAATGGTAAATAAGAGAATGGAAGCAGGCTACAAATAGTGGAACTGTAACTCTGGATTCATTGACACATGGATGGAAAATCGAAAATGGTTGTTTGGATTTTAATTATTTCGAAGGAGAAACTGCGTTAGATATGCTTCAAAAATATTTTTGTTCATGTAGTGGAAAATGTTCTATGAAAAATTGTAACTGTTTGTCATCGAACCTGGAATGCTGTGCAGTCTGTGCGTGCTCAGATGAATGTCGGAATGTTCCATCCGAAATTGATGATGAAACGCTTATTTCAACTCAAGAACTTGTCGAAAATAACGAAAAACTTATTTAAAGATTAAATAAAGAAGAAAATAATATACTTTTATTGCTCTTAATATTTTTGTAAAATAAAAATAAAATAATTATCCTGTAAAATAAATTATCCAATAACTTTTTTATTTTTCGAGACCGCTAGGTCAATTATTATTATTAGGTTAATTTTACGATTTAAAAAGCTTATTTAGTTTAGTTTTGGTATAACTTTCAAGTCAATTTTAGCCGTTTATAAAACCAAAAATCGAGTATTTATATTTTACTAATTACTTGCAAAAACCTTACTCCGGCTACAAAACCAAACAAAATGATCTTTTGAACATTTGTACTGTTAACATATATCGATTAAAAAAAATCATAATAATGTTTATTGTAAATTTAGTGTTATCATAATTTTCTTTAAAATACTTTTTACTCGCTTTAGACCTTCAATAAAATGATTGACCCATACCAAGAAAATATGTCTTAAAGTAGAAAATCTGCCGATTATTATGTTTTTTTTTAGAATTAAAATCTGTTCAGTAGTTTTTGAGAAAAAAATTCCGAAAGTTTGTCGATTTCGTCACTTTTTTTCACATTAAATTGTAAATATCTCGGAAACGAAGCATTTTTAGAATTTTTGTCAAAGTGCAAAAAATGTTTAATTTGGTCCATTTTATGATATAAAACTATTTTCAAAGCCGTTCGTAATTTTTTTTTCCAACGTTTTTGTTTATAACAATCGACTGACCACGCCAAAAAATATTAAAAAAATATGTAAATTATCAGAAAAACACACTATAAAATAAAAAGAGTTTAATGTTGTAGGTTTTTGTTTTAAAAATTTAGTCGGTTACCTTCATGTAGAAGCATCTTTTTAGGGGTGAACCGCTCGCCTACTACTAACTCCAACAAATGATTTTACATATCTAGCAAAATGATTCCACCCTTCCAGATAAAATACCGGTCGCAAGGGACAAAAACCATCCCATAAAAAAAACCTCTGTCACGCCACTGAGCCGTTAAAATGTCAATCGAGACACACCCCCGACTGTCCTTTGTCCTTTGTCACCGAGACGAATGGCCCTGCTGATAACAAAGCCCACTGTGACGTTCTCTATCTGTAAACGAATATGTTCTCGCTTATAATAATATCCGTTACCGTTTTATTTTTATTTTTTTTTAGATGTCTTGCCCAGTTCCTGCCGCCCCCGCACCCCCAGCCCTTAAGGACCTTCCCAAAGTGGCGGGCGACCTCAAGAGCGAACTGGAAGGATTCAAATCCAGCAGCCTGAAGAATGCAGACACGCAAGAAAAAATAGTGCTTCCCTCCGCCGAAGGTAATCTATTTTAAGGCGTTTGGCATGTTCTTTGTACGTGTATATTTAAGCCACTAAGTGGTGTGGGGTGTTTTATTAATGTGGGGATTTATATTTAGAAGGCGGGTGAGTGTATCTAAGGATCACGGCAGGACTTTGAGACGGAGGCTAGGTTTTATTGGCTGTAGTCAGTTTAAATGTTCTGTAACTGCTAAATTATTACTAGTATTTTTCCAGTTGAATTAGATCATAAAACATGAAAACTTATCTTGAGAAGGGGCATAGGTGATGTCCCTTTTTTTAAATTACCGTAAAAATAAGCTCTATTTAATGCAAAAAGAGCGAATTCGCGAGCGGCTTTTGCCTGGCCGCGGGACAATTTAATTCCAACTTTTTGAAATTCTTCTTTTTCGATACGGATCAATTAGAACCTATATCTACGATTTTAATTAACGTTTAGTAAATAAACAATTAGTTGAAAAAAAAAACGAACGAAATTAATTAACAAATACCTAGAGCAACAATTTCACTGTCAATCGAATCGACGTTTGGCACGCGTGTTGGTCTTTGGATTGACCGTCTTTTCCATAAATTTCATCAACATCCATCGCTTTTTGCAATAATAATGCGCTATTTTCGAGAAGTGATTTTTTCGCGTTCAACCTTTATTTTACAGTTAACAAATTGGTGAAATTTGACTTTTATATACCTTAAATTGTAGGGAATTTAATAGCCTTCAACATAAAATAACTAATATTCCAATAGGTCGTCTAGATTTTCAAGGGCAGTAAAAAAAGTGAAAAAAAAAAACACGTAAATGTGTAAGTTGTTTGCAAAAAAGATTGTTTTGTTTTTTCTTACACATATTGAAATTGTACATTTCATTTTATAGGATTTTCGCTAATTTTAACTTATTTCGGTTACTATGTTAAAAATTGACATTTATACTAAATTTTATTTAAACTATTTTTTTTACCAACTGTTTTATTTTGACCTAGAAACTTTGTTGGTTTTTGCACTAAAATACACTAAAAATACTAAAATATTTAAAAAATATCAGTTCATTTTTTGCGAATTTGTTTTTGTTTTTTTAATTGTATACTAATCCTTTTAGAATTCTTCTACACGAGTCACGAACTAACGCGAAATGTAAAAGTTTAAATATCAGTTAAACAATAATTATGTTTGCTACATTTCGCCTACTCTATTTGTCAGTCAGTATTAGAAATAGAGACTTGTTATTTTAAAAACTACATAGTGATTGTAAATATCTAATAATCGGAATTAATTAAGACATACCGTGGGCCCTCATCATTTACATGATATTTTTACACCTACGCTTGAGTTAACACCTGATTTTTATAAAGGTCCTACACTTATTTTTACATACTGTTACAAATGTTGCCTGATTTATAAAAAAAAAATGTAAAACAATTATTCCTTCTTTATTTCATAATAATTTTTTTAAGCTGCTATACTTTCATTTATTTGTACTTAATTTACTCTTAAAAAAAATGCTGAAATTAACTGAGCAAACAAGTTTCTTCACGCAGTTTCACTAAAAAAACTCGTTAAAATGTCCATCTAATATAACTTATATGGTAGCAGTTTCTCTGGTAAAAGTAAGTTTATGCCTACAGAAAAATAATGTTTATTACAGCGCTTAAAACTGGCTTTTCGTTTCGTACTGAACACAGTTTACAGTACCATATGCTCGTGTCTCAGTACATTAGCTAGAAACTACACCATTATTGAAAAAGAAAGTCAATCATAATGACTGATAGAAGCGCAGACATCTGTTCACTGTTTATTATTTCACATGGTGATAGTCATAAATCTTGCAAGCAAAATGGATAATATGCAATGACAAACTTTTCTCGTATTTCTTTTTAATGTAGTGATTTGCTTATATTTATTTGCAACAATCGCATGACAACAAGATTGTTAAGGTTATTTTTATGTTTATAGTTTCTAATACACCTGATATTGTTTGTTTTGTATTTTTGCACGCTTTTTGTTTCTTTTGGATGCATCAACGAAGTGGCGTTACTTTTCAAATATAACTTACATTTTGAATATAGAATTAACAAACCATGTAAGTAATTTATTTTTCAATTATCATAAACGTATGTTGTTTCTTAAAATAGAATTAATAAGGCCAGCCAATTAAAACAATGGACGTTTGGACAGTCTGCGTTTGTAATTTAATAAACGGCTCTTAAAATACCATGACATGGTTGAAAAATTTTTATATTAATATGGAATTTTCTGTTTTCGTATTCAGAAAAGGAATTATTGCTGTTCCTCCAAAATTTGTTCTCATTTGTTGCTTACATCTGTTTCTAATGGTTACCAACATATAAAAAGAAATTATTTTTATAGTTTTTAAACAAAAAATGTCCAACAAAACCATTTTATGCTTCACTTTATATATTTTTTTAAAGGTTATTTTCTTGACTTTTTTTATATAAAGCACCACATAATTATACAAGACCGTCCAAGTTTTTAATCGGGAAATCTTCACCGCGTGATTTTTAGCAAATAGTTTTATACGGGATGTCCTAAAGTGAATGTGCCATATTTTTAGGGTAGCTTTAATAAATTCGGGTTAAAACCTTTAAAAAGATATCAAAAAGTATATTTGTTTTCGGGATACAAGCTGTTGAAAATAATTTTTAAAAAAGTATCAGGTTTTCCTAATGATTATCTTTCGAGATGTTCGACATAGATCAACTGAAACTTAGACTTATGATTTATCTAATTAAAAATAAAATTTCGCTAACAATTACATAACCAGTGGCGGAGTTAGTATTATTAAGTACCTGATCGTATTTTAGAAATTTGATGTGTATTTATAATTCTATTGATATTTCTAATACAGAGAGATTGAGAATGATTGACCGGATTCTGAACGTACCCTGTCTCAATTACTATCAAAACTGATTTCCGTTTGCTAAAATTACTTTTTTTTCCGTGCAATTTCATGGTGTTCTGTGGCGATTTCACAATTTGACGTTCTGTTCATTGGCGCACGGATTTTTTGGCTTGAATATTATTTTGTAGATTTTGTTGTTACCTGATATATTTTGCGACATTATAAAACAGTATTTTTCAATACTACAGTTAGAGTAGGTGGATATTATACGTGAGTAATTAATTTATTGCGTATGTTGTTCTCTAACCTAATCGGTTTTTTAATTTAGGTTAACATGGCATTTTCATTAGAACATGATAAATTTCTTCTGGAGGCCTATTTTCGTAGTGGACAAAACAATGGTAATGGTTGGAAATATTCGATGAATTCGTGTCATTTACAATTTCAAGAACAATTTCCAAATGATGAAATTGATTATGAAATTTTTTCGAGACACGTGAAGAGATTAGTGGAACGCTTCCATAACACTGGAAGTGTTTGTAGAGGAAAATCTCCAGGCAGAAAGTCTATTCTTACAGAGGAAGTCTTGGAAGATGTTGAAAACCGCTTACGAGCTAGTCCAACCAAATCACTACGTCGGTTATCTGCTCAAACAGGTACTTAATAACAAATATTTATTCTAAAATTTGTATCATTATTCCTAAATTGTTTATAGGAATATCATATGGATCATGCCATAAAGCAGTAAAGAAGTTGCATTTTCATCCTTATAAAGTTAGTGTTGTGCAGGAACTACTTCCGTTAGATTTTGGAAAACGTGTGCAATACTGTAATTGGTTTAACGAAAATCTGAATGACGACGATATTCTAGATCTAACATTTTTTTCTGATGAAGCGTGGTTTCATTTAAGTGGGTACGTAAACTCCCAAAATTATCGCTCTTGGAACACAGAAAACCCTAATATTTTGCGTGAAACAACTCTGCACCCTATTAAACTTGGTGTTTGGGTAGCTATGTCACGTAGAAGAATAATCGGACCATATTTTTTCCGTGAAAATGTAACTGGGCAGGTATATCGGCAGCAAATATTGTTACCATTTTTTGAGGAACTTCACGACGATGAAATCCATCATGGATACTTTCAGCAAGATGGCGCAACAGCTCACACCTCTAACGAAACTTTAGAGTTGATTAGAGAGTATTATGATGATCGAATAATTAGTCGAGATAGATGGCCACCACGTTCTCCTGACCTTACACCCCTAGACTATTATTTATTTGGTTTTTTAAAAAATTCAGTATTTGCTCAACGGTTACACACGATTGAAGAACTTCAAGAGGCAATTACAAACGAAATTAGGAGTATTACACAAAATGTTTTACAGAATGTATTTAATAATATGAAAAGAAGAATTAATACCTGCTTGAACAACAATGGACATCATATTGAACATTTATTGTAAAAATATAGATATTTTTATGGATTTTATGTAATTTTAAGGTAAAATATTCAATAAAATGTGAAAAAATTCCAATTACTCTGTTATTATATATTGCATGTAACTGTTGTTTATTGCTCTCGGTCATACAGACAATCCTACCATCTAACATAATCAAGCACTTCCAACTGCTTGCATTTGCTTGAAGCAAATTTTTTTAAGACACTTTTCCTGAATTTCGACAGCTAACTAAAATGTTCAGCATAAATTTTTGGGCTGGATCGCTTGCGCTGGATATTCAGAAGTGTGAAAGCAGTAGCTGCAAAATAGTCGTCTTATAAGCATACAGCAGTTTGCTTTGATGAAAAACAGCAGCTTGCAGCGTATCGCTGTATAGCTGAATCGTCTTAGATGCCAAGAATGTAGCCACAATAGTGCTTCTGTTTTAAAATTAACTCATAACGTTTTAAAAATAAAATCGCTGAAGCACTTACAGTCGTTATTCAAAATTAGCTACATCAAACTTTGATTTAAAAGTTTTTCTAATTGTAAATGAAATAAGAATTTTGGAAAAGTTAGGCTAAACCTACATTTGATTCTGTCATCCTCTTTAATAATAATAACAATAATAACATTTATTGGTCCATCAGTATTGCTTAATTTGTGAAATAACTTTGATTTTTGTTAAATAATTGATATTTTTATTATGAATTTCCATTTTGACAGTAACCTAATTTATTTGACGTTTGAACGTAATTATTTGTTTACCATTAAAATCCCTCAACCTGCGCTCATGATTCTAGTATTGGTATCAAAAACTGGTATGCCGCACATCAAAAATCAGTATGAGGCGGCACGGTCAATCATTCTCGATCACCCTGTAGCTGTTTTACATTGACAATTTATTCATGAATAAATTGACGAAGTTCTTCATGAATTAATTCACGAATTTATTGGTAAACAGTGTGGTTTTACACTGCTACAGACTTTGTCAAGTTTTTTGACGTATGAATCAGTTATACCAATGAATCAAAGAAGCAAATAAATTTCAAAAACGTCACCTTTCCACTCATAATTGTAGTGATACAACAGCGGTACCGTTCTGACATATAAATATTAGTTTTTGTAAGTAACAAATCAGTAAAAACAATGCAAAACTAGTACTACGCCACACAATTATTTACATATTCCAATAACATAACCTCATCACTGATCTGAGGCTGGAAATCTGTTGGGTTGGTATTTCTGAACTTCACGAAGAAATTGACGAATATTAGAACATGCTCTAATTCGTCAAGAACTTGATGAATAAATTCATGAAGTTATTTGACAGCAGATTTGGAGCATTACACTTGTCCAATTTCTTGATGAATCAATCAATTAATTGATCAATAAATTGTCAATGTAAAACAGCTATAAGAAAAAATATCTCTTAGATTTTACTCGTAGGTATTATAAAAACAAGCCGCTTTAGGTTTTAGGATCGATTTCAAAATTTACAGGCCTCGTAAGAATGTATTGAGCTAAAAAAATCCTACAAGCATTGATACTTTTCGCAATATTCGCAAAGTAGTCGTTGATTTTCCAAAACAACACAAACAATTACTTTTTCTGCACATTTTGAAATTAATGCTGAGTATAAAAAAATATTTTTTTCTCAAATATAGCAAAAGACTTGAAGGGGATTGATTCAGATTTCCAAAACCCACCTTCCGTTTGCTATACAATCATTAGTTCATGAGATATCGAGGATAAAAACTAGTAGACGATATCTTAATGAGAAATAATTGTACAGAAAATTAAAAAAAAAACAAATTGAAGCTGATATATCAGGCTAACTGACCCTGGCATTAATTAAGCCAGAAAAAAAAATTTTGAGCCCATTGGTAGTTTTGAAAAAAAAAAGTTAAATTTTTGCCTTGCGCCGAAAGTGATGCTCAAAAAAAAAATTCATCTCAAAATTTCAAAACTAGAATCTTCAAGCTTCAAAATGCTTGTTTTTTTCTCGATACGAAAATTATTCACGACGTTATAGCCTTTCAAAAATCACTAAAATATTTGGAAATTTTGCCGTTCCTTTAATTACATTTTTGCCGAGTGTATTTGGCCTACTGCGATTGTGTTTTAATTACAATATGAAGCGCAGGAAAAAATTTAAATTGTCCAAATTGATCTTTTTCAACATTATTAATCCGGAAAAATTAAATTAAACGTTATTGAAGTGAAACGTGTTTATTACATCTCAACATGTTAATTTGTTTAATCCTATTTACTGAAAAAATAAACAGGAAGATTACGCGATTAGTGTTCACACTTCATTTATGCATCCAACAGTGTGTTGTGTTCCTAACCCTAAACCTTAGTGCTACCACTCTATCTGTTCCCTTTTTGCACCCCCCTCGCCTAGATGTGGCGCAGGAGCGCTCGCACAACGCCCTCATGGAAGGGGTAGAAAACTTCAAACCCTCCACCCTCAAACGCACAGATACCAAAGAGAAGATCGTGTTACCAAACGCCGAAGGTAAATATAGACTGGAGTGCCTTTTCGGCGGTGCTTAAATACATTCGCATATGCTCTGGCCTACACTCACACCCTGCTTTTGTGGCTTCCTTTTTTTTTTTATATTAACCCCATTTTCGACGCCCTCGTGTACGGGATGCGTGTAAAGGTGATACCGGATGACCTTTTTCCAAGCAGTACCGTGAGGAATTTGGTTGTCTCAGATGCCAGTCGGACAAATTAGGGCAAATTTGTGGACTTTGGCGACGATTACATGCTGTAGAGAAGTTTGGTCAATACTTCGTAGATTACACAGGCCGACAAAACGACAAAATTTGATCGACACTCTAACTCAGAAACCAGAATGTACTCTTCCGAAGGATTTTGGTGCATTGAATTCGAATCTGAGGTCCAAATTTCTCAATTGACTCTGATTTTCGAGATATCCGAACCTAAAAGTGCCAAAATCGCGATTTTTTTTTAAGTATTTGAGGTTATGTCACATGGATTATTTCAACATGCGATTTCTCAAAGACGAAAAATGATATCGGGATAAATCCGAGTGCGTTTTAAAGAATAAGTTTAATACTTTGTCCCCATTAATGGTTTCAGCCAAAAAATAGCTTTCCGTATAACATAACCTCAAATATATCAAAAATGGCGATTTTGACACTTTTAGGTTTAGGATATTTCGAAAACCAGAGCCAATTGAGAAATTTGGACCCCTGATTCGAATTCAACGCCACCAAAATCCCTTAGGAAAGCATATTCGTGTTGTTGGGTTAAAATCTTTGTTAGCCTGTGTAAAAAATTCAAATTGTACACTATGGGAAATCGTCCAATAAGAAAGTTTTGCTAAGATAATCTGTATTATACACAACTTTCATAAATGATTACAAGCCACGTGATCATCGAGCTTATGCAACCAACATTGCACCGCTGGTACTGTCTACTAAAAATTCCTAAATCTTGGGCAAGATAATGCGATGGCTGATTCGTTGAATAAAATCACGTGAAAAATTACACAGGTGGACTAGAACGTTGTGTTTTAATGTAATCTTTCATGGCTTGTAATCATTTATGAATGGCCTGTATAAAATGGTACGTGAGAACTAGATCCTTTCGTTACAAACATACGTTCGAAGAGTACCTACGTGCTTTATAAAAAAGAAAGTAGGTGGCTTATATCTTCATTTACTATTTTTCACCCTTATAAGGTATAATTAACATTAATTTTTGAATGGCACTCGCAAAAAATGTGTGTCGCCATGGGACATCCTTTTTAATTTGCCCATTTCACGCACGACTGTTCTTTCAGTAGACGCCATAAAATTCACCTATAACAGATGGGTTGTTTCGGTTCGCTTAATTTGTTTGTTTATCGTTTTTTGTAGTAAACACTTTTCACGAATTAACAAGGTTTAGTATTCTGTTATCGGTTTTGAAACGCTTTAACCACATCAGAATATTTGAATTTTAAACAGACATTCTACTATATAGTAAATATGAACAACCCTTAACGGGACCAATAGTTGTTTAAAGATTTTAAACACGCTTATAAAAGGATAAACTGAAGTAAAGGTGACATCTTTTTTTTTGCAATTTAGTGTGTTTGGATGCTTTTATTCGGGCACTTTCATATTTTCCCAATTTTACCTTAGAAATTTTAATGGAAAGCTCTGTAAAATTTTTAATTAAAAATTTTGTTTGTCAGGTCCAAAGCAATAGGCATCGACTCATTCTCAATATGTGCACCGTACGACGGGTAAGGCGGCGTGCGGGGAATGCGATTCCAAGCGCGTATCATTTTAGAGGGTTCCAAAATTATAGCACAACAAATACAAGTTTTTATATAATCGGCCATATTAGTTGCATGGCCTTCAGCTGACAGTCGTACGGTGGTAATTTATCCACTACGTATTTCATATATTTGGCTTTTTATTTTTGGGCAATTGATAATATTTGCGCTACTTTTAACGTCTTGTCTTTATGTTCAATATGTTTTCCATTCATTCAAGCATTCCATGATTTCTCCGTGCAGGATACTGACAATTTTCATATTCGTCCACTGTGGTAAGGCATACGATCCATGGCAGTCACTGCACCAGATTCGACGTAAGGCAAACTATTTTTCAAACAGTCCGCTGTCGATATCCTCGTGGTAATCTCCAATTCCTCGCGACTCAAGAGCATGTTATCTAAAATGTATAATATTAATTACCATCCTTTCCCAGAGGGTGCCCTTAATCCTATAGAAAACCCTTATTTTTTTCCGCTACGTGTTTCGCTTTCTTACACTTTAATCACTTTTTAAGGCAAAAATTTTTTCACAAAAATCAGCATTTCTAGGGATTCACTGGTAATATTCGTGCTTCGTGCTCGAATTCCTTGGTACACATTGTTTATCGTACTACGTTCTTGATCTGTTTAATTCGGTCGTTTACGCCTAAGTCTGATTATTATCAGATAATGCCAATAACACACTCTTCCATTTTTAACAACACAAATAATAACAGGGCTTTCCCATTTGTACGCTTATGACACGCAAGTGAAAACTGACGATAGACCTAGTTAAAGTCTGGAACTATAACCTCAAAAAGACAAACCATCAATCCTTAAGACTATTTTTTGTACTATAAGAGAGAACAAATTATCGGAACATTATGCGAAATGAATGGCACATTACAATTTTCGTGCAGAGAATACACAAAATTATTGTATTCGATTAAGAACTAGTAAAAATTGTGGGTTTTAGACTTTTCTTTTAGACTTACCGTCTACTATTTTAAACTTGGCGTATAGATTCCAATTCGACTGCCTAAAATTTCATTCAAGTTTGACGTTAAGGTACCGATTTTTTCGAATTTTTTTGGGTACGCCATTGTTTTAGTTATCCCATTTTTTAAGACAAAGAATGTTTTTATACCGATTGACCCAAGCCTTTGATTTAAATAGGATAATCTATATTTTTTCTGTGCTGTTTTAGTTTACATTTATTTTATTAAGGTCAAAATTTATTTATTTTTCTTGATACCTGCTCAAAATTTAATTTTGTTTGATAAATATTCGTGTATAATAAAGAAAATTCCACCACTCCTTGTTAAACCGAAAGTAATAGGCGAGCGGTTCACCCCTAAAAAAAGGCATGAACCGACTAAATTTTTAAAACAAAAACCTACAGCACAAAACTTTTTTTATTTTATAGTGTATTTTTCTGATAATTTACATATTTTTTTATATTTTTCGGCATGGTCAGTCAATTGTTATAAACAAAAAAGTTGTAAAAAAAATTACTCGCCGAATGGCAGTTTTTTATTGTAAAATGGACCAAAATAAACACTCTTCGTTCTTTCACAAAAATTCAAAAAATGCTTCGTTTCCGAGATATTTACAATTTAATGTGAAAAAAGTGACGAAATCGACAAACTTCGGAATTTTTTTCTCAAAAACTACTGAACAGATTTTAATTCTAAAAAAAGCATAATAATCGGCAGATTTTCTACTTTAAGAAATATTTTCTTGGTATGGGTCAATCATTTTATTGAAGGTCTAAAGCGAGTAAAAACTATTTTAAAGAAAATTATGATAACACTAAATTTAAATTTTCTTTTTACAATATCTTGAATTAGATTATATTTACAATAAACATTATTATCATTTTTTTTTAATCGATATATGTTAACAGTACAAATGTTCAATAGATCATTTTATTTGGTTTTGTAGCCGGAGTAAGGTTTTTGCAAGTAATTACTAAAATTTATATTCGATTTTTGGTTTTATAATGAGCTAAAATTGACTTGAAAGTTATACCAAAACTAAACTAAATAAGCTTTTTAAATCGTAAAATTAACCTAATAATAATAATTGACCTAGCGGTCTCGAAAAAGAAAAAAGTTATTGGATAATTTATTGTATAGTATAATTATTTTATTTTTATTTTACAAAAATATTAAGAGCAATAAAAGTATATTAATTTATTTTTTATTTAAGTTTTTCGTTATTTTCGACAAGTTCTTGAGTTGAAATAAGCATTTCATCATCAATTTCGGATGGAACATCCTGACATTCATCTGAGCACGCACAGACTGCACAGCATTCGTGGTTCGATGACAAACAGTTACAATTTTTCTAAGAACATTTTCCACTATACGAACAAAAATATTTTTGATGCATATATAACGCAGTTTCTCCTATCTTAAAGTAGATCTGCCGATTATTACGCTTTTTTAGAATTAAACTGTTCAGTAGTTTTTGGGAAAAAAATTCCGAAAGTGTCGATTTCGTCACTTTTTTCACATTAAATTGTAAATATCTCGGAAACGAAGCATTTTTCGAATTCTTGTCAAAGAACAAACGGTGTTTATTTTGGCCATTCGGCGAGTAATTTTTTTTAACAACTTTTTTGTTTGACAATTGACTGACCACGCCGAAAAATATAAAAAAATATGTAAATTATCAGAAAAATACACTTTATAAAATAAAAACAGTTTCATGCTGTAGTTTTTTTGTTTTAATAATTTAGTCGGTTACCTTCATTTAGAAGCATCTTTTTAGGGGTGAACCGCTCGCCTACAAGAGAAAAACGCCTATTAAATTAGACCATTTGTTCTCTGTTTTAAACATATACAATGTTTTGCCGCTGGCACGAATCAGAAACGAGCTATAGGCGTGCCCTATGGCTTGAGTCATCCGTTATATCTAAACTACACACCCCAGAAAATATTGGTTTTTCTCGTTCACAATGGTTTTGACTTTAGACGTTTGTTGGTTAAATAATGTTTAAGATTATTCTGAAATTTTACTACTTGTACTACTATTTTGTTAATATGCGCGGATTTGCTCCGGCTCACACACATCCAAATATTGCAGTTCATATTGTACCTAGTGCTATCGCATGTTTATCATTTTATAGTGTTTATGTTTATAATTAACGCAACAATAATGCATTTACTCCGCATTATTTTTTTTTCCATTCTGGTTGCAAACCGCAGTTCTTCGAACTCCAGGTCTGCTTTGATACACTTGGAATGCGTACCCAAGTCAACATATGGCGAGTGCGCTTATGTTACCGTAACGCAATCCCTCTGAGCGATTTGAATTCGAATATTTTCAAATTAAAAATAACAAGGAGCCTATTAAGAGTGATGTATCGCCGAGTTTCGCGCTCGGCCATGATAATTAATGATATTCGCTTGGTATTCAAACGTACCGATGCTGACTCTGTCCGTGGAGATACTGGGTGTCTCAAAATCGAATCCAGACAATACAGGTGTATAGCGAGTTGCGTAACCTATAGTTATGACCAGATTAATTGTAAAAATTGTGATAAATATTGACCAGTGGCGTATTTTTGCACTTTCTTACACTTACTTCAGAGAAATGTCTGATTACTTGTTACACTTGGGATTCTTTTATAGTGTGACGTCACATATTTAGGCAACCCGCAACAAATTGTCATAGTTGAAATTGTACAGACCGAATCTGACCCTTGTGTACTATTTACATAGATGCTATAACAATGACAAGTATTTAGAAGTATTTAAAAATAACCAATACGTGTTTCGTAAAATATGGACACTAATGTGCTTAAAACGATGTAAAAGAAATTCCTAAATTTACAAGAAGTAAAAATTAGCCGTGTTATTCCTAATGCGCATGGTCGGAAAGAATAGCCGTGAGATCTTAGCCCTTTTCTTTTACTCATGATTTCGGAATCATAACGTGTTACGATCCGATGGGAACCAATCAGATTACTAGATTTCGGATCGTAACGCGTTATGATTCCGAAATCATGAGTAAAAGAAAACAGCACTTGTTGATGTCATCGCTGCCATTAGCTTATTTTCTCTTCTTTTATTTAATCTTGGACATTTTCTACTTCTGCTAAACATTTTTATACGAGTAGTTTTTCTTGGTATTGTGCTGTGTCACTGTGTTTATTGAGTGTTTTTTTTCTTCAAGTGGTTTATTATAGACGTACTCTTATTAACCAGTACCAAACTTTTCTTGAATGATATCCTGATGCGAGGGTATTTCGCTTACAATTCTATAATTCTTTAAGGTTGTCATTTGGAGTTTGAATCTTAAATATTTATAACATTGCCAGAATATCGCGATATTTGAGTCATGGCAAAGAAGAGAAGACAATTATTCTTTGGTATTTATGTCCAAAGTACATAAGGTCGAAAGTCGATCTAGTAAAAATATTGAGTCTTCATGACAATGTGCACCATGGTTGCCTATTATTTGACATATGTGACGTCACTAGTCACTACTAAGAAGGTCTATTATTGATCTGAAATTATTGTAGATAAATTTGTATATATTGTGTACAAAGAGTTTTTATTTAAAAATAATTTCGTAAGGATAAACAAGGGGACAATCATCTGTGAATTTAGGTGTAACACTATTAATGAACTTAAGGGTAGGTACCTATATTAAGGGGTCATGCCACTCTAGAGGTTCGAAAAAAGGTGACTTTCGGGAATTTTCAAGGAAAAATCGATACAAGATATAGTTTTAGGAACAAAAAGGCTTTATTGTACATCTTTTTAGGTAGTATTGTCAATTTTTTCAAACAATTTGCATTCAAAATGGTGGCTGTAGGTGATGGCAAGTAACATCTTTTTTTTTTTAAGAGAGCCATGGCTGGAAGGGTTTTCTTATTAACAGATGGTCTTGGAACAAAAAAACTAAAATTTTCTGATATACTAGGTATAAGCTTAGGGAACATCTTAGGGAAATTAAAAAATATTAATACCTAATTGTTGATTAAGAGAACATTAAAAAAAAGCATCAAAAAATGACGAAAAATTTTGCATTACATTATTAATAACTATAATAATTGTTAATCAATCAAAAAACCCCTACGACACTCCCTGAATTATGTTACTATGAAGCTTTGTACAAAATTTCAAGTCAATTCGTCGAAAACTTTTTGAGTTCTGTTTCTGACAAGTTAAAACAAAATTGTTCAAGAAAACCCTTTTAAAGTTTTTGTTGTCATTAAGCATAAGAAATTCGTTATATGTATACCTTTAATCAGGGACGCCTATATCTTATAGCTGGCCTTCTATATTGATATTTTTTTTGTCTTCAAATGAAGACCGAGGTAAAGACTAAGGATTAGGTATTGCAAATTTACGAGCCTGATGAAATATATTTTTACAAATTTAACTTGCTCTGTATATTCGCAAAAAATGTTCTCTACTGATATTAGAACATTAATATCAGTCAAACTACTAACCAGGCAGTTGTGTGGTGCTTGAAATAATCTGCTAACCAACGTGTATATTACAAAGCAAATAGGATTGTGAATATATGAATCGTATTTTATCTTGTGCTGTATTCTCTTTCAGATGTGGCGGCGGAGAAGACCGAAAGGGCTCTAATTGAAGGCATCGAACATTTCGATACCAGCAAATTGAAACATACCGAGACGCAAGAGAAAAACCCGTTACCAGATAAAGAAGGTAACCATTTCATCCAGCTTGTTACATTAATTTTTTTCCTCAGTTTTTTTTTTAAGTTTATGAACACAAATGCATGTATGTGTGTAATTATATGCTTGTGCTATGCGTATAAGAATAAACAATAATTATCGCTGAGAATAGAAATAAAGTAACTTTTTACCATGTCATTACACTTGGGTACCCAGCGGTGCTACTATATTGTGAGTTTGTTCCACCTATCTTATTTTAACATCGATTAAATTATATATGCTCAGTGTAAGAATTGGAGCAAAAGAAATATAGTTGCGTCACTGGTACCACTAAAAAAGTTAGATGTAAGGGGTGTTTACAAACTTGGAAGTAATTTTTTACATTAATACTATCTCGTTATATTACACACTAATGTTTATTATGCGAAAAAAAAATAAAACGAGATATGCTAATCTTACTCAACTAATAAGTATCTTGCTGCATTTCGTGCACGGTTAAGTGAGAAACGATTTTTTAGCATTTGTTCTATGGCATAGAATTTTGTCTACATTCACCGTATGTCGACAGCATTTCCACAAATTCGTGGTAACTGTAATTATGTGTCGTAAGACAAATTTTTAGCAGTTGTCTTCTTTGATCAAGACCTTCCTGCAAGTAAAAGTAGATCCTCAAGTTCGTAAATGCGCTGTACTTGTAACTTATTATTTTTTGCATGGTTTTGTGTTTAATAAATTTTTTAAACTTTGTCAGAATTCAAGGCCTGGCAACCTACAATGTGTGTAATTAGTTGTGCATTTTAACTTGCAATGTTTCTAAATCATTTTTGATACAAAATCGGAAATAAAAAACAGTATAATAAGGAAAAAAGAAGTTGGCTTTGGCTATGTAAAAAATTGTTGCAATGCCTTGATTCCATAGTATTACTTTTTCGTGTATTACGCATGTATCTAATAGCTTTTGCATGTCAGTCGTGCAACAAGAACGTACCCATCAGACCCTTTTAAATGGAGTGGAGCACTTCGATAAAACAACCATGAAACACACAGAGACTACAGAAAAGGTAGTCTTGCCAGACAAGGAAGGTGGGTGATTGTGTGTGTAATTATTAAATTACTTTTATTACGGTTTCAGTTTTGTTTCTTCCTTAATAACACTCGATAGTTATGTTTTCTGGTGTATTCAAGATTAATTAAGGTTTTGGAATTTAGATTGAAAAATGTATAGTTTTTGGTTCTATTTCAAAAAATTTTAGATCGATTAATATAATTTTTTTATAGATAAATCCTGTGAATAAAAAAATATACAGACTGTATCAAATTTGATGAGATTTCTTGATATCTGAAAGCTACTACGGATTAAAAAAATAAAATCTTTAAACGACTGTATTTCATGTGCCAAATAAATTGTAATTAAATTAAAATGGCTCTATATGAACTTTTTGGCATATAATAGATTAATCATATTAGTTTTTTAGTTACAGAGCTGTGAAACAAATTTATAATTTTTTTTAACGGAAATCATGGCTGTGATAAAAAAAAATGCAATTTTTGTTGCTTTTTCATAACTATGTTTCAAATTTTTTATTTTTGATAGTGTTAGTTGTGGATAACGTATCTTTACATATAGGCCGCCACAAATGCCGTAATGAATTTTCTTTTTAATTAGAATTATGTTTTATATCAGAAATATTACTAAAACTAAATACTTTTTTAAAAAAACACCATAACTTCAAAAATAATCATGGGAAAGTAGAAAATAGAATTATATTTTCCGTATCACAACAAAATACGATGCCGATATAATAAAATAGCTTCATAGCCATGAAATGACAAAAAAAAACATTACCAATTGATTCTATGAGGAAAAATTCATATGGACTAGTTTTTACTTAAATTCTAACTCGTTTAGTGGCAGAGATGCAGAGGTGGTGACAATTGTTACAAAAAGAAATATATAACAAACACAAACGAAAATATCAAATAATCATCATAACTATTCAATTTGTCTTGAAAATCGATTGGCCACATCGTCAGTTTTTTCTCATCTTTATTAGTTTCTGAGGTCTCTAAAATCCCGTTGAACTTGACTCATTTGGCACATTTCAAATATAAATATTTTAAATAACGGAGATATTATTTAGATTTATATATAGTATATTTAGAACTTATTAAAAATGTATGTTTGCATGACATTAATTGCTTTTGCATGGTAGTTGTGCAACAAGAAAAAACCCACCAAACGCTCTTGAACGGAGTGGAGCATTTTGACAGAACCACCATGAGGCACGCCGAGACAGAGGAAAAGGTGGTTTTGCCAGACAAAGAAGGTAGGCCGGCTTGCTTAGTTTTATTTGCAAAGCAAAAGATGCTTAAGCGTTTAGCAGCAAAACCGCGAATTTATTAAATTTGTTATTTTTATTGCCGTAAGGACGTAGTCCAATATAAACAATTTTCAAATGTTTTTATATCTCATATTAATGAAAGCGGTTAATATGTTACAGGGCCTTCAAAAATGATTATAAGTCACATAACCAGTAATTTTATTTCCTTCGTGTTGGCAATTCAATTTTGGTGTAATTTTATTGAACCAATCGGCGATCGCATTATTTTGGGTGTAAACGTAACAGTTTATCATTGTTCATTGTAAACGAATCATTAATATTGGTGACGCCGAGATTTAGGGATTTTTCGTTACCAGTACCAGCCCTGAAACGGTTGCCTAAGCTCGGCGGTCACATGGCTTGTAATCATTTGTGCAGGGCTCGATAATTTTCTAATTCGCGTTAATTATTTTCCAGTAATTGAGCAAGAAAAGGGCCAGAGGAATCTCATCTCGGGGATCGAAAACTTCGACAGTACCAAACTGAAACACGCCGAGACACAGGAGAAGAACCCACTGCCAACCAAGGAAATCATCGATCAGGAGAAGAGCGCCTAAAAATTCTTCTCTCTCGGGCTCAATCGATTGCCAATTTTGTATTATTTTATACTTTTATATGATATTTGATATAACTATTTATATTGTAAGATACCCATCTGAAAACCTACGTTTATCATACCAAGACTAGCTTTTATTTCTCTAATTTGGAAACTATGTAATCATTTGTACTTATTTTGTCTGACAGTTATCTTTAGTGTTTAAATAATTTAATTTGCATGAATTATATGGTGCTTCAATAAATTATAAAAATTGTACCATCACCTCGTTTTATTTCATTTCTCAGAACGGTTCATAATCAGATAATCACCCTGTAGAAAGTGTAAAAGAAATTATTTACTCTAAACGAGACTAAATATCTACAACAAATGAAGATATGAAACCAAGTTTTTTATATAGAATACACCTATAAAATAGTGGAAAAAAAGCCAGCTCAAACCATAGTGGTGTAGATATGAGGTAAGTATATGCTCAAAACATTTTTTTTACAAGAATTTTCTCTACAATACAAATTTTATTTTGAACTATTAATGATCTCTTGAACTTTTTCACACGGATAAAATAAGCTCAATTTATTTTTAGAATTAAGGGTAAACTCGCCCGTCCTCGGTAAGTTAAGTGGAATCATGTTCAGCATATTATAAGATGGTAGTTTTTAAGTTTGTGTCTACAAAACTTAAATTTGTTGTCAGAATTTGCATCACTGAATCTCAATTTACTTCTTTAATTAATTTGCATGTTTTATGAAAAAAAGTTCTGCAAATAGTCAAATACACTATATGCTAGTTGTTCCTCAGCTTATTTCAATAATTGGCCAATGCCATGCCTGTTTTTGGACAAACTTAATTGGTTAATTTATTTTTACTTATTAAAAAAACATTTAAATATCATCGTTTACAAAAATAGATTTTTTTCACTACAAATTCATTTATAATCGAGAAAAATAACAAGAAATAAAAATGTTAAGGTCACTAACACAATGCACGAAAAAAATTTAAACTGCCGAGCCGAGATTCCCAGAATAACTTTGGCCCCTATTGTCGATCACTAAGAAATTGTAAAAAGTAATAGCCAAAAACTAGCTTAATCAAAACCCTTTTTCGGTCACACAAATACGAATTGGACAAAACACTTGTAACTATTATACCCAATTCTCTGCTACCTTGGCTGAGACAGAGCGAGATTTTGATTTTTGAAGCTTACTTACTTTTTCCTGTTTTCCGGAAGCCACTTATTTTAACCTAAATGTAACAACAATCATTAGTTAAATATGTTTAATTCCAGTTTAAACACCATTTAATTGTAACATCGGCTTATAGAACATAAAACATTTTTTTACCATCCAAATAAGTATTGTCACCTTACCAACACTTTTTGTAGGTACGAAAAATAGTAGACGCAAAAACCGTTAGGTATACAATATTCAAATTTATATTTAATTTATATAATGGTGATCGAAAATAGGCATGATATCCTTTTAATTATTAATTTACAAACTTGATTTAAAAAAAAAATCACTGTTTTTAAATTAAATGCGTACACCATACCTACCATAATTTTAAAAATTGCTTTTATTTTCCTTCAACAGTTTGATACGCCACTGTTTAAAAATACGCCCATTATTTGACCTACCACAAATGAATACCTATTTCATTATTTTGTTTTAAGATAAAGACCACATTTGTTTGCGATATTGTATGCGTGGTTCATTTTTATGTCTATGCGCAAATTCGTCCAAACGTAATAAAGTAAAGTAATAAATTTCAAATCCGGTGTGTTCTTTCACGTGTTCAGCTTTTTTTGTATTAGTCGTGGTCTGTAAGTGGTTTAAAGTTATCTTATTCTTAATGTAATTATTTATAATATTTGACGAGATCACTGTTGTATTCATCTAAAGCGTTGGCTTGTTTTGTGATAGAATGAATGATACATTTTTTCCCAGTAAATTTTTTTATTGTGGGATCTTCGATGTTTTGTGTAGGTATTTAGAAGCAAACAATGGCTAAAATTACCCGAAGGGGTAGAAATCCTGGGGCAGTGGACAGCTGGCTGGACAATTTGGGATTGTATCGGAAAAATGTGGCATACGATGAAACTTGCCTTTTTAGGGCAGTTAGTGAACAAGTGAGTGTTTTGTTACATTTCATCACAAAAATTTACCTATTATAAAATTTGGTTGATTTATAAGTCAACAGTAACGGTTAATCTCAATTAATTAATCAATCAGCATTCAGAATAATTAACATTTGGTGAGATCTCAGGTAAATTAGCTATTGTCAAATACATGTTAACTTTTGGTGGAAACAAAAAAAAGTTTCTATTTGAGTTTAATTTAGCTTAACAGCTTTTATATATTAATTTCAGTATCTCAATATGTAATAGATTAGAAATATGTAATTTTTGTTACCGTCTGAAAGTTTTGTGAAATGAAACTTTTATATTAATGAATATATCACATATAGCATGGAAGGTATCCATACGCGTTTTCTTTGTATCTAGCTTTTTGATTGTCAAGTTTACCACGAAAGAGTTCGTAAGGAATGTATAGTTTATGCCCGAAAAAATTTTGAAGAATTCTCCTACCTTGCAGACTCATTTGCAGCCTGGCAGGAACATATAAATTTGTTAGAAAAACACATGGTGGTGTGTGGAAATATAGAAATCCATATTATCAGCAGGAAGTATAGGTGGGTACTTTAAGAATTAAGTAAAATTTGAGTCACTTATTCCTCACTTTCAGTCGCGATGTCATAATTTTTGACGCAGCTCGTCAAGAAATTTTTCAAGTGACCCACAACGATTTTCCAGCGTCACTGAGACTATGCTTAATGGATGAAGACCATTACGATGTAGTCTACAACAGAGAACACATCATGACGGCAGGTTTTTGCCAATGTATGTAATTGTTTTTAAATAATGCGGTATTTTTGGTATATTAGAGACTTTTAGCTGTCATTTACAAAATACTGTATGAAAAAGTGTTCCATATACCAAATGTGGACGAAATTGTGAAGGCCATGTTGTACGATAAAAATAATATTGTTACTCATGCCGAATTAATAGCCGAGAAGAAGATGTCCGAGGTGAATAATAATGAAACAGGTATGGCACCTCCAGAAGACGCAGGAGAGGGCCAGTTAACTTTGACAAATAATAACATAGCCCCCTTCCCCTTCAAAGTTGCTAAAGCCTTAGACCCCACAATATATAGAAATATAGAGTACGATTCCTGGGGAGAAGTCAGAAGAGGTAGGCTTTTACTTTATAATTATTGGTTAGAATTATTTTATTTTTTTGTTTACATTTCATTTTGGGTTTAGCAGTAATAAAGTAATCCCTATAAAAAAAACCTCAGTCACATCACAATTTGCCTCGTATCTAATGAAAAATATTACTTTTTCGAAAACTGTCATCAAAAATCGACATTTTCATTAAATTTTCAGTTGACAAAAGAGAGTCTATTTTGTCACCTAGCTGCAAAATACTTCTATGTTCTAGAACGCCAATGACTTTTTCATTCTAGGACATAAAACAAATATCAAAATAATTTGCCATTTTTTCGAAACTTATTTATGATTTTCCTAATTAAGCAATATACATTTTCCAAGTCAAGGTTTTAGTGGGATAAAGATCAACAAGTAAAAGAACACTATATTTTAAATCATTGGCAACGTTTCTGTATTATTTTACATCATCCTCAGGGCTCTAAAGTACAAACAATGTTTTTTTATAAAATTTGTTAATGTATTAAAATAATTTAAAAAACAAATACATTTACAATTCTAAATTATTGTCCTGTAGAACAGCTCTAAAATTAATAACATAGGTATTACCCACTCACCGAAATTTGAATAAGTATATACAGGGTGTCCCATAAGTACATGATGAAAAAAGTACTGCGACATTCTTTGACTTAAAAAGTCTGGACTTGAAATCACAAAACATCTCGAAGTATGAGTTTCGGAATCGGAAATTCTTATAATAATAATTGAATCTTTGTCTTCTATATTATACATAGCTATCTTTAGTAGCTCATCTCTTCTCAAACATCAATTATTAAAATGACATGAAAAGTTGTGCAAAATTAGTTAAATCAATCGAAATCGATATAAATATATTAATTTAAATTACCTTTTCTAGCAGAAATCTATTAGTAGGTGCTTCTTATAAAAATCTCTCAATTTCCTCTTTCTTTAGAATTCTGGACTTTTTCGGACGGTATCCAACTGATTTGCTTTCCAAATGTGGTATTAGTTTTGGAAAATTTCTGATATTTACATTTTTTTTTTGGCATTCAGTGTACTTTTTAACATGGAATATATTGACCATAACGTCGAAGGTATAATTTTATTAATTTTATGTTCAAAATATACTAGTAATACCGCTTCGGACAATTTTCTTTGAACTACACCACCCTTTGAATTCGTTGTAGGCAATCTCGTACTGTCTCGATATTTTTTTGGGGATTAATTGTGAAATAGCACTTTGTGCCGCTTCCAATACTTCCCCTGGTAAATGCTCGTCTTCACTTTCCGAACTCATTTTGATTTAAACATTTAGAATATGAATTACAGTATACAGCTTCAGAAAGTCCCCATGGTACATCGGCCGTTACGTGAGAGCAATAAAGTAAGTCATAGAAATCCGTTCGATAGACAAGCATGGTTGCATTGAAGACGTTTCATAATCTGAATAGTCACTTCCACTTCTAACCCGAAACGGGCCGTGACTATTCAGATTATGAAACGTCTTCACTATAGCCATCCTTGTTTATCGCACGAATTTCTTTACTTTACTTTGTCGCTCTCATGTAAAGGCAGATGGACCATGTGGATTTTCCAGCCCTGTATAATTCTGACACTACTTTTTCGCAACTCACTCGGTTTCAAAAATACAATACCTATGTACGTTTTCAGCCACGATATTTGAATAATTCTATATATTTCGAATTTTTACCCCCAAGAATGGCGGTGACATTTAAAAATTATGGCGATGTTTCGCCTGGTACTAGCTATGTCCTATACAGATTTAGTTTCACGCAACTCACTCGGTTTCAAAAATACAATACCTATGTACGTTTTCAGCCACGAAATTTGAATAATTCTAAATATTTCGAATTTTCACCCCCCAAGAATGGTGGTGACAACATTTTTAAAATTATGTCGATGTTTCGCGTCTAACTAATTTTTATTGTTTATGATAGTCACCACGCCTAAACCGTCTTGGTTCAAACGATTTCAGATATAAATTAAATTTTATATAGCGCAATTGTCTTATTTTATTACAGTTTTCGAAAAAATATTGTTTGGATCTTGAAGCTCAGCAAAATAACTTTCATTCTTGAACGTAAAAGTTCCATTTCACGTTCTAGATACAAAAATAACTGTTTTAATACAGTCCATCTTTTCATACTCTCTTTGAAAACAAAATTTTTTTTGTTGTTTTGCGTTCTACCCAGTGTCTTATATTTAAGTCTAACTTGTATACGTTTTGCGTCAACTAATAAAATAAAGCAATACAAAGCATTGCTTCTTTGCAAAAAAACAAATTATTTGACTTCATTGATAAGATTTAAGAACAAAAAATCATTTTGAATTAGCTTCAATAACTTTAAAATTGATAAAAAAAAACAAAGCTTTGCGACTAAGTCAACGAGATGAAAACGAGAACAAATAAACTATATTTCAATGAATCTAAAAATGTTTAGAACTACGCCTAGGGGAATGGTACTATGGCGATGACAAGCTAATCCTAGGTACAAGGTGTATTTTAAATGATGACATTACGAACGAACCCCAAGATTGCTACATACAAGAAATCATCAAGGACAGCAACGTGTGCGTTGTGTACCTCACCAAACTAGCAGAGAAGCGGACTGTGAATTACACTGACTTGTCTCCAGAAAGTGACGCTAAACCATGGCCTTTACCCTACAGGTAAAAATGTAGAAATGACATTCGCTTACATGTTTTTTATTATTTTCTTAATTTGGTAGATTTTCCAAAAATTTAGTGATAGCTGGGTCACCGCAAGTGCAACCTCTTGAAAAGACGCCGAGAGGTACTAAGAAACGTAACAAGGAAAAGAGACGGACCAAAAGCTGTAGCGAAACCGGCACTACAGTCCCTTCGGAAACTGTGGAAAATGTTAGCGCTTATGTTGGGGTTCCTTTGGTAGGTACACATTTAAAATTTTTCTGTTTCTAATGCACTAGGTACTATTGTCACAATATTCTTGAGAAGTAAATGTTGCCATTGTTACACTTTTGCATCACAATTTTATTGTAACACGTTCATATTTACAAACGAAGTCATTGTACTAAACTAACTACAAACTAAACGGAGTGTAAAAAGATTGCCAGGTTTTCTCAGATTTTACCGCAACTGAAAGATGAAACTAAATCTTTTTAGCAAATGCACAATCCAAGCGAGTCTGGTTACCGCGAAAACGAGGCGTCAACAGAGACTCAAACGGAACCACCGCTAGCTGAACAAATGGTCACACCAAACATTCTGAATTCCTCTACCAGGTATCAATGGGGTGATCAGACCCATTGGCACCCGTTATTACCACCAACGCCGGATCCTATGACTTGGCCACAAACGCCGACCACTCCTCAAAGTATGTTTAACTTTAATATGAAACCGATGGTAGCTTCTGCTCCAGTAACACCAGACGTGGTCCCGTATCATGGTTAGTATAAAATATATACGGTATCGGACATAATTAGAGCTATTGTTTCTTCAGGTGGTCTCCTTGCAGATGGAATTAATAAATATTAATAGAACAAAATTATATATAAAACACAAAACTTAAAAAAATGACGTTTTGAAACCACAAAATAAAAAATGTGGAATATGACTAGATTAATGTGAATTATTTTTTACTTAACCAATATCTGACCCTTTTACTAAATTTCTTTTTCTTGCTTTCGCTGTCCCAAAGGTTTTCGATAGGATTCAAATCTGGAAACTGACTCGGCCATATCAAAACTTGTACATATTTTCACGAAACCATTCCTTTACAATTTTAGCTATGCCTTCGTTGGTCATTATTGTGTTGATAAATATATTTTTAGGGTTTTTCCTATTTGACATATTCACTAATGCAAAAAATTAAAGGGTAAAAAGAATTTCCGAAATTTTTCCAGACTGTATTTAGGTGAAAAATGATCGTAACGGGAATTAAAAAAAACATTTTGAAGCTCTAAGATTCTGGTTTTTGGATCTTGCGGTCGAAATTTTTTAGGAGGTACGGTTATCCTGAAATTCTAAGAAATAGTACAACAAAATTTTGCAAATTTTCTTGTCCACGAACTTGGGAAAAATTTTTTTCATCTTTTACAAAGTTGATGAACAGAGCATAGGACAAAAAAGGCGATTCGTGTTGGAAAAAATTTGATTGTTTTTTCAATGTCCGCAAGGTTTTCCAAAAAAACAAAAAAATCTGAAAAATTTCGAAAAAAAAAAATTTCAAATATTTAAAAAATTATTTTTTGTTTTCATAAATTTGAACGTTATTTGCAATAAAATGTGAGAAAACCTCAAAAAAATTTTGTTTTCTATTTTAATTATGAAAAAAAAACGTGACTAATTTTTTTCAAAAGTTTGAAACAAAGAAACGGTTTGCTAGATCGAGATGAAACTTCACAGGGTTCTTCTGGGTATATCGAGCTGTAAAAGTCATGTTTAACATTAGTCATTTCGTGAATATTTCTAATGTAGCCGTCAATTTTCTAAAAAATTCATAAATTACCATTTTTTTCCAGTTTTTTAAAATTCGTTTAAGACAAAAACAATTTTTTCCGAAAAGTTGAGGCAGCATGTTATAGGAAATTTATTCCAGTTTTCGAAACTGCCCTTCAATTCTCTGTACGACCATTTGTCGCTGATATTGATGATTGAAAGCAAAAGGATCCTTTTCCATTAAAAGTCCAATATTTTGATGAAAAATGGTCGTATCGAAATTAAAAAAAAGGGAATTGAAGCTGAATAAACAAGCTATTTGGTCCACGCAATGACGGCTGAAAAAAAAAAAATTTCAAGTCCCTGGAAAATTATCCAAATTTTTTTGTCTCGCTATTTCTTAGAATTGCATGATAACCGTAACTCCTAAAAAATTTCAATCGAAAGATCTAAAAACTAGAATCTTAGAACTTCAAAATGCTGGTTTTTAATTCCCGATACGACCATTTTTCACCTAAATACAGTCTGTCAAAAATCACGTAAAAATTTCGGAAGTTCTTTTGACCCTTTAATTTTTTGCATTAGTTTAGTAAAATCATCTGGTATGTTTCGGTACACAAAGGTCTTATTTCATATGCCGGGAAACAATGCCAAACCATAACATTGCCCCCATTGTCTTTTACTGTGCCGGAAATGTATTTTGGATCAAGTCTTTTTTTTTTGTACATTGGACAGTGAAAAATTGCATACCATCGTTACCAAAAATATTAAATGTACATAATAAATAATATTTTTTACCATTTCCTAACAGTCCAGTGTTTGTAACGAACGGCATACAACATTCTAGCCTGTTCCACGCCAAATTGGACGGTTTGAAAAGTTTTGATTTTTGATTTCCTTATATTTTTGATATTTTTAGTACCCCTCAAAAAAGCCTTTCTGGTAAATTATGAGATTTTTTTGATTACTTGTTCAAAAATTATCAAATTTTTAAAAAAAATTGTTTAATTTTGTTTTTTTGTTCATAACTTTCTTATTAATGGTCCAAATTAGTTTTTTTTTCAATATCTTTGTTTTTAGATGACTTACAGAAAAAAATAAAAAAAAATTCAAAGGGTTTTTGATTAAGATTTTTGAGTTTGAAATTTTAAATCATGTTTTTAAAAGTGTGTTGATTTTTTTGAAAATTTCTCATTTCAAACTACTATTCTTTTAACAACTTTTAAGACCGGTCCAATCGTGGGCCCTCCATAATTACTATTTATTTTTTGATTTTTGAAAATTTGAAAGAAAATTTTTTTCTATATAAATCATTGTAGGTACCGATTTTTTTCACTGTATACTCTTTTTTTACTCATTTTAAAATCAATAAGTAAACGTTAAATTCAGTTATAAACAATTATAACAAACATTCAAAAACACGATTTAACATTTCAAACTCAAAAATCTTAAAAAAATATTTTTTTTGTATTTTTTCTATACAGGCCATCTAAAAACAATGATTTTAAAAAAAGCTTTAATTTGGACTATTATTAAGAAAGTTATAAACAAAAAACAAAAAAACGATTTTTTTTGAAAATTTGTTATCTTTTGAACAAGTTATCACAAAAATCTCAAAATTGACCAGAAAGGCTGTTTTGAGGGGTACTTACTAAAAATATCAAAAAATTGAGGAAATCAAATATCAAAATTTTTTAAACTGTCCGATTTGGCGGGAATGCTCCGTATCTAATTTTTTTCGGAAACGGTTTCTTCGGTGCTCTTTTGATACACTTCTCTCAGCCAAAATCTTATTGGCGGACATCCACCTATACCACTGACTTAGTCTTTTAATTCTCTGATCCAACCAGTCCATCGTTTTTAGTTTTCGACAATTTCATTTCACTTACCGACACCCATGAAGGCAGAAATTCCTAATTACTTTTGACGCTTTAAACTATTAGTTTCATACAATGCATATTATATTTCAGTGTCAGTTGAACACCTGTTGACCATAGACTGAATATGACGCTTTAATTTCGTCACATCTAATATTCCACGAACAACACCTGTACCAGACCAGAAGTGGCGTGTACACTGTTCAAAGTATTTTATGTGCACCATGAGAATAAAATTTCTGATCGTTCTAATTTTGTACGGTATTATACCTATATTAATTTTTAGTAACCCTAATTACATTTTTGTCTTCCAAAAAAAAATCAATGGGATTAAATCTAGTTATGGAGCGGGCCACTCTTTGTACGATTACTACGAAATTATATGTTTCCAGATTCCAATTTTCCATTTTACTACAACTACCAGGTGGACCCGTTTTCGCCTTACGGCTACTGGCACCAACCGCCCATAGAATTACAACCCCCGCAGCTAAAAACAGAAGTTGAAAAGCCTTGTGAAGAGCAAAGTAGTAAACCTCAAACTACGAAAAATAAAAAAGACCTCAACCCCTTCAACGAGAACGAAAACATCTACGAACAACCGACGATTAGCTCACCAGCGAGACCCACCCTGTGCACCAATTTAACACCGCAGAGCACACCCGTTGAAATGTATTCACCCATGATGCCGTTGCCACCGGGTACTCCCGTTATTTACGCCCCGGCGCCACCGGAAATGACGGAAATGGTCGTGTCGAGTCCTCCGATTATATACAGTCCTCCCTTGGATATGCAGTATCTTTCGCCTCAGTTTGTTTATCCTCCGACGCCGCCGGCCGCTTGGTATCCCGCAGGGGTCAATGCTCACGGGTTTATATTTCCGAGACCGCAGTAAGCCCGAGGTATGATTTTTCCGCCTGATGATGTGTAAATCGTTGACGAAACATTGTTTATATCAAATTATATATTTTTTATAGTCTTCGTTATTTCTATCTATACTGAGATGTTGTGTAAATTTGTGAAATATTTTTTTTAGGAAACGTTGCTCCGATTTCTCTATTTTTCATATTTAGTAAGGATGTAGTTCTAATTTCGTTACCAAAGAAATAATGTTTAAGTTTAATATTTATTAAGTGCAGTGGAAGAAATATATTTTACATACTCATTTCATATTTTGAAGTTTAAAAAAAATCTGGCAGAAACAAAAATAAAAAAGTATTTAGTTAAAATTTTTCAAAATTAATTTTTTCATTTTTTTTTGTTTTTTTTTTGTATAGTTTGTTTTCTCTATCTTCAATTTGGAAAGAAGGATTTACAATTTTTATAAATCGATTGTTTTAAAAATGTCCAACTAAAAAAAGTTTGTTTATGAAAATTATACAGGGTGTGAGAATTTCGACATTTTTGTGGGTTTTCACATGTTTCTAGAAAAGATTGGAGTGATTTTCAGGAAAAATTTGAATGGTGAAAACCGCATCTCGTTGATTTCTTTAAAAGATTTAGGATATTTTAATTTTTCTATAACTTGGTTTTTTAAATAATTCAATATCATTTTGGTCTCAAGTTTATCGGCAACGTTTGTGCTCTGTCATTTAAATCACCCTGTACATGCGTCAAATTAATTTATTAGTTGTGCAACTGTTTTGTGGTACAATTAAGTGTGCCATGTGTTTTTTTTCAGGCACGTCAAAACCAAAATAATTGAACTTTTTTTTTGAATAAATACTCGATTTAAAATATAAAAATTATGGTCTCATTCAAAATAAATTAAAGTTTGGGTTTATTATTCAAAAACTAAAAATTATAGAATACGGCACTGAATTTTATGGAAAAAATTGATATTAAAAAAATCTAAACTCTTCACGATTATTCGATTTAAAAAAAATATCAGAAATTGAAAACGCTCTATTTTTTTTAAACAAACCAAGATATCGGGTTGAAGTTGTCGCTGTTCAATTTTTGTCGAAATTGGTCCACCCTGTACAATATATACAAATTAAGAGGGCTCTGTAGCAAATAGCCAACCAGGAATACATTTTTATAGATTTCTATTACACAGTTTGTCTCGATATGAATTATTGCACAAATAATAGACTTTCCTCCATTCTAACGCAGATATTCTACAAAATGGAGTTAGTTTGAAACTTAAATTACTTTTAGTTGTAAAGAAATTTGTAATTTACTTACTCAAAAGCGGCAAATTACAAATTCCTTTACACCTAAAAGTAATTTGAGTTTCAAATCAAGTCTATTTTATAGAAAATCTGCGTTAGAATGGAGGAAAGTCTGTTATTTGTGCATTGATTCATATTTAGACAAACTGCAATAAAATCAATAAAAATGTATTGCTGGTTGCCTATTTGCTATAGAACCCTCTAAAACTATTTCAGATAAGTCGAAAGGAATATGGTAAAATTTGTTTCTTGTAATAAAAAAACAATTAAAACTGTTACGAAGGATCTCATTTTGATTAAACTTTGTAGAATATTTACAAAAAAATTTTAGATTCGCAAACACAAGGTTGTAACAAGTGTGATCTCTAATGTCCTTTAAGAATTAATTTTTTAATTTTTTATAAGCAGAGTTGTTATATTTTGTTGTAAATTATGATATATATTTTTGTATAATAAAGTGTTTTGAAAAAACTTACGTTAATTGTAAAAACCAAGTTCCTGAAGTTGACGAAAAGTCAAAAACAGTTAAAAATCTTTTGCAATTCAGTTTAGGAATTCACTGTTAGAGATGTCTCTGCTCCACAGTCCCCGTCGATGTAAAAAACATTGAAAAAGCAACTCTTACAGATGCCATACTGGATATTTTTATTATTTGACCTAATTTTTATGTTCAGTGTCTAGTACTCTGATGTACGTGGTCGATAATGAATAATTTCAATTATTATGATATAAATACATATACAGGGTTATCCAAAAGTCCCGGTACAGCAGAAAAACTTTCAAAGAAAGCATTTTGGGAAAAAATTTCAGACAAAAGTGTAAGGATTTCTCCCTGGCTGGTGGCCTTGGATTTGACCTTGACCCTCAAGTTAAGTTTTTTAGATGGAAACCCCTATTTTTTGTGAATTTGGAAAGAGCAGGAAATTCTACGTCCAAAGTTGGTCTTGACAATGACCTTCAAGCTCAAATGAGGGTCGACTTCCAAATGTCCCGGTACGGCAGAACTTTCGAAGAATGCATTTTGGGAAAAAACGTGTCGGACAAATGTGTAAGGATTTTTCCCTGGCTATCTGATGGTGACCTTGGGTTTGACCTTCAAGGTCATTTGAAGGTCAGGTTATTTTTTTAAATAGGAACCCCTATTTTTTATTGCGGATTTAGAAAGAGCAGGAAATTTTACGTTTAACTATGACCTTGACCAATTCCTTGACCTTCAGGTCAAATTAACCTGACTGACATGATCTTGAGGGTCATTGTCAAAGTCGTAGTCAAGGTCGTACTTGAAGGTTAAATTTCAGTTCTTTCCAAATCCGTAATAAAAAAATAGGGGTTTCCGTTTGAAAAACTTAACTTGACCTTCAAATGACCTTGAAGGTCAAAGTTAAGGTCAAATCTAAGGTCACCATCAAGTGGCCAGGGAAAAATCCGTATACATTTGTCTGAAACATTTTTTACCAAAATGCTTTCTACAAAAACTTTTCTGCCGTACCGGAACTTTTGGATAACCCTGTATAAGAGGGTATTATTCCAAAACCGTTGATTGTATCGTAACGTACATGTACAATGAACGAAATTTTGGGTACGTGAAATTAGAGGTAAAAAAAATAAAGCACACGGCATGTTTGAGCACATATGCCTGATAAAGCAAAATGTACCGGAAATCGCCCTAGTGTTTTTAAAGTACGATAGTTTTTCAGGTTGTTATACTGTGGCCCGTGTATCTAGTCACTACTAGTTACAGAATTACCTTTCACTTCCTTTGACCTGCCGTTGTTCTTGGCCTAAGCTCTGTGGGGATCAGACCAACTATTAGAACCGCTAAGCCCACCCTGATATTCGTTTCGGTTCTTATTGGGTCTTAAGCTATTATGGATGGAACCGCTCCTCGGGTGATGGTAATTCTCTGACACGTTCCATAGTGGCGTATGCAACTGGTCGCATCCGACGCTTCTAAAGTTTCGTCGTTCTTTACTGTCGGTATCTTCAGTGGTGACTCTACAAATACTTCGCCCCGACTAAGTATTAGCATGGGCCGCATATCACGTTTTTGGCACTAAATCTAAGTATTATTCCATCGGGTTTCAATAAACAATATTTTGAATAAATAACTGCCAAGATTTATGACCCCGCCACACCCCCTTTTAAGCATTTTTGGTGATTGCCGAGACGTGGGATTGCAGATGATTTCCTTCAAACCTGCGGGATTGCGGATAATTTCCGCGAGACTGTGGATGATTTCTGCGAGATTCCAAATTATTTCCCGCAAAGATTTGATTTTTTGAATTGTAATGTAGCCTACAGAACAATTCCGCCCCTCGACACGTCATTTCTGCACTAGTCGTGATATTGGCAAGGGAAAACGGGGAAGTGGAACAAATTTTTTAATATTTTCATATTGCGTTGTAAATAAAATAAATTCTACTGTTAAGATTTATTAGTTAACTATGAAATTAAATACAAACGGTGCTGTGTAAAAACGTTAAGCACATGCAAATGCAGAATAAGTTCGAAATAGAAAGTAACTTTAAGATTCGTCGTCGCTGCCAGCGGGTTGCCTAGCCTTTGGCCCCCCTGCCCTCTTGGCCATAATAATTTGGTCGACGCGGAGAATAGTCGCCGCAGCACCCACTGCGTACTTAAGCCCCCAATACTTGCAAACGAACAAGTCGAGGATGTTCCTTTCTAAGGCGTCGCAGATCGTGTTTTCCGAGTCTATGTCTACGCCTACATTTTTTTTGACAGCCTGAAGAAAAACGAAAAAAAATATATGTTTTGTTCTTTTGAGAATATAAACCAATTAAGTTAAAACTCGAAATTTCTAGTTTCGGCTTGATATTTTCAGTTTAAGCTGTAAATTAATAAAATAAAAAATTACTTGACATGTGAACTCGAACTTGAAATTTTGAAGTTTGAATTATGTAAAAATTATCGAACCGAATTAGATGAAATTTAGTGTGATGATTTTATGCACTCAGAAGTTTAATTCGGAAAAGTATGAAGATCCTAGGTATTATTCAAATGTCTGAAAAAAATTGACAAATAAACTAGCATTTTTTGCAATTTTTTAAATGATTTTTCTGATTTTTGCAATAACAATAATTATTTTTTATCTTGTTCAAAATTTAATTACAAAACTTTTTTCCCCCTTCTATTTTTGTCTAAAATGAATAGTTGCTAAGTTGTCGACGAGAAATCCAAGAAAAAAATGATATTTTTTTGCTATTTTTTTATACTTTTTTGCAATAACAATTAAGCCCACGTTTTTTTTTATTTGCATAGAAAAATTATGATTTATAATGTTGTTTAGAAGCCGTTAAAGCAAAAATCTCCGATCATATGCGTTTTACCCAAGTCTACCCTTTTTAAAACAGATACCGCAGATATGCTCAGCCATGAAAGTTCAAGTTCTTAATTGAAATATCGCATACGAAAAGTTTGTGTTCAAAGTGAATGACTTTTACAATGTAACCTATACTTTCTAGGTTATATCTCACCAACACTAGAAATTTCAAGTTCTAACTTGAAATTTCATGTATGAATTTCAAACATTGAATTTGAATCTGAAATATGGTGTCGAAACTCAAAATTTCCCATTCAAAGAGTAACCGCAAAAATCACCTGTTTTTTCACAATTCGCAGAGAACTAGATAAAAATATGTTTTTGGTCTCAAATTACTCGTCGTACAAAATTAAGATAAGCATAGCTTTTAGTTTTTTGAAAATTTAAAAAAATCACCCCTATTTAGGGGTTGAAAAGACGCCCAAAATGAAGAATTGAATATTACCAATACCAATAAATATAAAAACTATTAGCATGAGAATTTTTCTATCGAAAATTTATTCTCATGACTGAAATAAGCATGTTGAATTAGAAAATCCACCCTTAAGCGTGCTCAGGTGGCGGGATCATCCCCGAAAATAGAGAATATCAGAAATAATTATAAAAATTCCAAAAAAAAATATATTAAGATAATTCACATACTAATAGTTTTTATATCAATTGGTAATATTCAAATTCTACATTTTTGGCATTTTTTCAACCCCTAAGCAGGAGAGATTTTTTAAATTTTCAAAATACTAAAAGCTATGCTCGTTTCAGTTTTTTACAAGTAATTTGCGACCAAAAACATATTTTTATGTATTTTTTTAATTCTCTGCGAATTGTGAAAAAACAGGCGAAAATCACAGGTTTTTTGTGGTCACTCTTTGGAACAGGAAAACAAATGGAAAAATTTAAAAAGTCGCCTTTCTGGAGATGTATGTAACTGAATGCTATTAAAATCTAGTCGATAATCCTGCTATTAAAAAAAAATAATAATAATTTAGCTGATTAAAACAATGACATTTTTTTCCTGAAAACACATTTGCACTAATTTAATGACAGCTTACGAAGATTCAACTAGTGATTGTAGGGGATTTACTTTCCTGCAAAGCGACATCTAGTGGTGACACCTGCTAAAGAAAGATCGATTGCCACTGGAATTTGAATAAATTCTAAGAAACGGTGTTGCCACAGACCTATATTTTTTCGAGAGAGCGGTCCTATCAAAAACGAGCGAGATTTTATTTAAAAGAGAGATTTTTTTAATGCTGAAATAAATCAATCAATAACTCTACACTAACTTACGTTAATCAGAAATTAAAATATTCGAATAAAATTACAACTTAGTTTTGGGCAGTATACTATAAGGCAACTACGGAAACTTTAAAAGTGGTTTATACTACAAGAATAGAATAGCCAAACTTCATTAATTATAGGTACAATTCCATAGTTTTTGTTAGTAGGTTTTTATTAATTTTAAATTTTAATAAAGACTTCTGAAGAAATTAAAAATTCAATTCTTGTGATTATCTGGTCATTCGATAAATGTTTCGTCGTTCCGATTCCAACCCGACTGTCGGTCGGCATCTGAGGCAGGTAAATATGAATTAATGCAAAAATAACAGACTTTCCTCCACTCTATAGCAGATTTTCTATAAAATCGAGTTAGTTTGAAACTTAAATTACTTTTTGGTGAAAAGAAATTTGTAATTTAGTTATTCAAAACCAGCAAATTACAAATTTCTGTACAACAAAAAATAATTTGAGTTTCAAACTAACTCCATTTCATAGAAAATCTGCAATTGAATGGAGGAAAGTCTGTCATTTGCGCATTAATTCAAAATTAGACACACGGTGTAATAAAATCTATAAGAATGTATTGCTGATTGCCTATTTGCTATAGAGACCTCTTAACGTAATAAAATTGAAAATCCGGCGCGTCTGCTGTTATTTTCCGTACAAAAAGATTGTTGTGAAGGGTACTAAAACGAGCGAGATTTCACAAAGAAGAGCGAGACAGTTAATTCGAAATAAAAAGAGCGAGATCTCGCTCGATTGAGCAAGCTGTGGCAACGCAGCAAAGAAAATTTGAAAAATCCCTAAGAAATCCAGATCTATGAAGTATTCCACGATAATTCCCAGTTTCCTAGATTGATGTGTGATGTATAATATACAGGGCGATTAAAAATTCAGCACAAAGAATTTAGAGGCGTATTTTTGAGATCAAAATATGATTTTTTTTCCTATTCTTTTCTTTCGTAAGAGTCTTAGATTTCAACAAGTTTGACAGAAAACCTCTAAGAATAGCTGTCAAACAAAGCAGTCATAGCCTACTATGTATTTTGATAATGACAATACAACCTCCTTTTAGTCAGCACTGATTTTCTCAAAAACGGTTAGTTGAAACAAAAAAATGTAAAGGGCTACAATTCAAGATCGTTACATTACTGATTAGTTGGTGAAAATAAATTTAAAAATTTTTCACCGTAAAAAGTTAAAATTTGAAAATATGACGTGCATTTAACTGTTCATCAGCCAATACCTCGGAAACGGTTGTTCTGAGAGATTTCGACCAAGTATACCTTTTTTGCTTAAAATTGACAGGGTAATAAACACACTAATACGAAATGTCAATGTACAGGGTAAGAAAAAAGTTGGGGCCAATTTAATTCAAGCGTACCCTTGTAGGTGGCGCCCTCTACATGCAGCGTCAAAAGCAATGACATTTAAATTTAGCATCCTAATAAAACCCCGTACCCCAAGTTTTAGGCCAACATTTGAATCTGTTTGAAAAAAACTTTATAACACCCTGTATATCGAAAACTAAGCATTTGTAGACCCACGTACAATGCAAAAAAGTCTTATTTTACAGAAAGATACAAATTCCGCAGAAACAAACTAATTTTCAACTTACTTGATGAGCATCCAGTATTTTCTCCAACACCGCCGTGGACTTGTGCCCGCTATTCTCGGCCAGAGCCTTGGGGAAGCTTTCCAACGCCGCGGCAAACTTCCTAACGGCATACTGTTCCAAACCGGGCAGCGTATCCGCGTATTTTGTTAACTGAACCGCCAATTCGGCTTCCGTGGCTCCGGCACCGGGTACGAAACGACCGTCTCTTGAAATGCACTGAAAGAAAAACATGTTTCTTTCCCTCTTAAAGAATCGACTCCCCTTGACTTACCTTGAAGGTGTTTACGCCATCGTCGATCGCCCTTTCTATGTCGTCCATGTAGTTGTCGGTAGCTCCTCTAACGACGACGGTAGAAATCCTGGATTCCTTGCTTTCCAATCTAAACGCAACGATCGGGGTGTCTCCAAGTTCTTCGACGCATACCAAGTCGCAGTAGCCGAGTTCCTGGGGTGTGGGCGCTGTGAGACGCGGCAGGACTGTACCTCCGACCTGGAAGCGGTATTAAATTTATTTCCTACAGTTTTTGCTGAGTTTGCAAGCTTCAGAACAATAAAAAATATTTATATTATTTACCGTTTTACTGAGACGTCTCAAATCGAATTTGGAATTAAGCCGAACGGCCATCAAACCGTATTTATTGATGTAATGGAGTGCCATGTCGCCGAATTTAGCTCCGGCGACAATGACTTTGGCGCCAGTGTCAGCGATCGCCTTTATCTGTAATTCCAACAGATTCTCTTCGCCACGGCTGAAGTTCATCAGTTCGTCAGCCGTCTTAATTAGAACAGTGCCTATAAAATAATTTATTTAGTTCCGTTATGTTGGGAAATTTTTTATATATAAATAAAAACGAGTCATTACTTTTCGTCAAAAGAATAAACTTTTTTTTAGCACCCTATACCAAAAAACATAATTTCTTACCTTTAGTTTCAGTCTGCATAATGTCCACTGCACAACCGTATATAGCCACTTTCGCCTTTTCGACCTTAGAGACTTCCCCCTCAACCTGTCTCTTAAATACCATTCCCTGAACGACTTGAGAACTGTACAATCCAGACCCCAGCACTTTACAAACCCTAACGTTGTCGACGTTAAAGGTGGTTCGTTCTGGTATAATAGAAACGCAGGCCTTGGCGACTATATCAGAAATAAAATCCTCGTTCCCATACTGTTTCGATTGTATCGAGGTCTTCACTCCTTTGACTACCTCTTGAATATTGCGGTAGTCTTTAATTTCGTAACAAACCAAGGAAGGCAGAATCTCTAGACATTTATCTAATGCCTTCTCGAAACCTTCTGCTATTTCCGTAGGAGTCACTCCCAATCGAATAAGTTCCTCTGCACATTCTATAAAGAATTAATTACATAAAAATAAGTCGTGTTATATATAAAGTATAAATATACCTAAAAGGGCTCCTGCTAAAATAATTACAAAATTTGTTCCATCCCCAACCTCAGAGTCTTGCATTTGACTTCCCAAAATCATAAGTTTGGCTGCTGGGTGTTCTATATCTAATTCGCGAATAATAGTGGCTGCATCACTGGTAACGAACTGCTTTTCAATGTGGTTAATGACCATTTTGTTCATGCCGTTAGGTCCGTAAGCTGTCCTTACAGAGTGTGCAAAGTCTTTGCAGGCTGTTATGTTTCTAATAACAGCTTCTTCTAATCCAGAGTAATGCTAAGAGAACATTATATACTAATAAAGGGATTAACATTACCGGTGTTAATACACCCACAGACCACATGTCTATTTATTAAGCATTTTCAAAGTGAAAAACTTACCCGTGCGCCTTCTTTCAGCATTTGGGCAAATCCTGGAGCTTTAGGAACGTGTAGAGCCATGTTTATATGTGATTAGTGCTGATTATGAATAGTATAAATTATTAATAACGTTAAACGCTGACAATGGGTATAACCACAAAAACGAATTATTCACAAATAATGCTAAGTGAGGTGGGGATTAGTGGGGAGTAGGGGACTAAAAAAAATAGGTGGAATTTACGGAATAGCCAATCTTGAAAACCAAAATACGAGTTATTAGAGTAAAATAGAGTAAGAGAACTACCTTATTCGTTCACATTTTAAAAGAATATTATATTTAAGAAGGGTTGTAGTATTTAAGATATTTAAAATTTAAAAGATAAGTATAGTAATAAAAGCGGCGCAGAAAATACTTCTGTGTCAAAGATATTGTTATATTAGCTTAGTTTTGAGATCTCAGCTAGTTTCAGCTATTGTGAATATTGGTTAGTGTGAGATTAACTGATATATCATTAAAATAAAATTAGTGTCCAGTCTTTTTAACATAAAAATAATTGTTTATTTGCTAAAGATAAAGGAAAACACAAATGTTTGGTGTAATTTGGAGCTTATGACATGTTATTCTTTCGTTTTGAGAAACAAACCTTTGAATTAGAGTAAACAAACCAACAAACTCGGTCACATTTTTAGATGTTAAAATACCAACACAATAGAGCAAAATTACTAGTGAATGCATAATCTAGGGACATTTGCATAGTCAGAGAATGTAATGTAAATATAACCTATATTTAAGAAATTATTCACTTTTATAATGTACAGATTCTTGTTGAACCACGTGTTAAATTCAACGAAGAGAAATTTCAAAACAATGTGTAAGATTTTTATTCACTAATTGCATTCACTTGTACACATAATTTTTTTGTAGCCTTGGTGAATGGAGTAAATGGTCATGGTTATTCTCAAAACACATTTGATTTAGAAGTAAATAGAATAATATGGGTGGATATGGAGGTAGTTTATGATGTAAATTATTTTTTATCTTCTCATATGGTAGATTTTTAGATGACAGGTTTAGACTTGGAAAAAGACAAAATAATGGAGGTTGCATGCCTAGTGACCGATTCTGAGTTAAATATTGTAGCAGAAGGTCCAGACATTATAATACATCAACCTGAGGACTTACTTCGTAATATGGACGAGTGGTGCATCAATCAACATGGAAAAGTATAAGTTAATACTTCATGTCTCTCAAATTCAAGTGCATTAATTGATATTCTTTTCAGACTGGGTTAACGCAAGCTTGTTTGAAATCTAATGTAACTGTAGAAGACGCCGAAAACGCACTACTTGACTTTGTGAAGAAATACGTAACTGAACGTCACAGTCCCTTAGCTGGTAACAGCGTTTATATGGACAGAATGTTTTTGAAGAAGTTCATGCCTAGGTTAAACGAATATCTACATTACCGAATAATAGACGTCTCGACAATTAAAGAAGTTTGTAGAAGGTGGAATCCGGCGTTATATAAGCAGCTACCGAAGAAAGAATATAGCCACAGGGCTCTACAGGATATAAAAGAAAGCGTGGAGGAGCTAAGGTTTTATAAAACTAACTTTTTTAAAAGCTGCTAGTAGTACTGTTTCTTTTTTATCGCAAATGGGCATTGTCCATTTGTTGTAAAAAAGACACAGGTTAGATATAAGATATTTTAACTTAAGGGGAAACGCCACTTTCGATGTTGGAAATAGGGGATTTTGGGGAATAGTCAAAGAAAAATCGATACAAGGAACAAAACGGCTCTATTGTACAGCTTTTCATGCATTATTGTGAATTTTTTCAAACGGTTTTTATTCAGAATGGCAAGCAGCGACACCTTTTTTTCAAAGGGCTGTATCGTTTGATTTGAGACTCATCTGGTCTATAATAGCTATAGCGTGTCTTATAATAAGCATGGACGTTTTTCCTTTATTCACATAATGAAGCATTGTTCAAATCATTTACTGAAAAATATGTTTTTCAAAACTCTAGAGTGGCTGTATCCCTTATGTGTGTAATATTATTTTTCCAATAAAATAGTGGGAAAATAGGTATATTATTTTTCGCAAAACCCTCACCTTTTTTAAATATTCATTTTACTTAAATGTAATGGTTTTTGAATTGGACCAAAACTTATATTTCATACATGCTAAAATTAACAGAAAAAAAAACAAAAATGGTGAAAGAATCTTTTATTATCTATTAATTTATTAATTGGTGGATATTTTAACAACGAAAATGAATTATTAAAATATATGTAAACATTTTGGTATTATTTTTTTTCTAATTGATTTATTGAAACTGATAATAATATACTTATAAAATTATATTTAATAAAACATTTAAGAAATTAGTTCTGTGTTGTTATATTTATTATACTCCTTTCTTGCCAGTGTGGAAGTGACTTATGATATGTTCTTATAAATTTACCATTATCAGTTAAGTTTTTATTTTGCGGATTTATATCACGGAAAACTGGAAATAAACTTCCTTTAAATTGAGATCTTGTGCAACGCAGTGTTAGTTCAGCAATTTATTCTCTTTGTACACAGAAGATTAATTTTACAAAATATGTAAGTTTGTTTTGTTTGATGAAATATCAATATCGTTCATGATAAATTTTAATTTTCACAGTTTTGGATAATTCACTAAATTTTGAAGAAAAACGAATAGTATGGGTGGACATGGAGGTAAATCAGATAATATACAGTCTGTTTGATTATAAAGACCCTGAGCTATATCTTGGTTATCCACATTTGGACACCCTGTAAAGCATATACAGAGTGTGCCATTTAACACTCCCGCTGCCAATATCTCCGAAATGAAGAAGTTTATTTTAGTTCCGGAAATTGGGGTTGTTAGGTCCCTTGAATAGCTTCAAATTGCAGTTAGAACTGTTAGTTCAAATCTTTCTGTATAGATTTTTTCTTCCCTGGAACGTGGGAATACAGTCCATCTGAAAGATTGTTCAATTTTGAGTAATTTTTGTAATATAAAGTTTTTCCCTATATTTACTTGTTTTCGAGATATGCCGATTTCAATATGCAATGCAACGTATGATAGGTATAACAGGAAAATCTATTATTTTATTTAAATCACACCTAGACAAAATATTCTTTTAAAATATTGTTATAATGACTTTATTCACACCAGATACTAACTAACAAACAATAAATTATATAAAAACAAATGATCAACTACAGAAAAAATATTGTACAATGGTAAATCTTAAACTATGTATAGTTAAATTAAAAGACGCAAACTGATAAAACTGTAATTATTGGAAAACTAATATGTGTCATCTATCATTGTTTTGTTTTAAACAAATGACGTGAGCCACCTATGACTGCATTTTTTATAATATCTGATAAAATACGGCTCGTCTCTGCTCCTTATAAGATTTACCATTGTACAATTTTTTTTTCTGTAGTTGATCATTCGTTTTTTTTTATAATTTATTGTTTGTTAGTTAGTATGTGATGTGATTAAAGCCATTATAACAATATTTTAAAAGAATATTTTGTCTCGGTGCGATTTAAATAAAATAATAGAGATTCCTGTTATATCATACATTGCATATTGAAGTCGGCATATCTCGAAAACAAGTAAATATAGGGAAAAACTTTATATTACAAAAATTACTCAAAATTTAACGATCTTTCAGATGGACTGTATTTCCATGTTCCAGGGAAGGAAAAAAATTTTTTAGTATCGCTACGCCATCTATACAGAAAGATTTGAACTAACAATTCTAACTACAATTTGAAGCTACTTGAGGGACCTAACAACAACAATTTCCGAAACTAAAATAAATTTCTTCATTTCGGAGATATTAGCAGCGAGAGTGTTAAATGGCACACCCTGGATATTAGGGTGGCCCAAAAAAAAACGAATATTTTTTTTTTCGTCTCTTTTGTGAAAATATGTTAGTTTATAATGTTTTAAGAGCCCCCTCAAAAAATCAGCTCAAAAAAATTTTTTAGAGGTTGCTCAAGATTTTTTAAAATTTCCAAAATCGTCAAAAACTGAACTTTTTTTATTTTTTTTTTCTATTTCTAGGTTGAAAAAAATCTCGATTCTGAAAATTTCTAATAGATATTTTAATTTCTAAAGGTCAGTCATAATTTCATATTTTAACTTTAAAAGTAGTGTACCTAATATCAACGAACTAATCATTTTTTTTATTGAATTTGATGAACAAAAGAATAAAAATAAATCACGAGAGGTATAATTTACTATCGCACTGTGAGTATCAAATATTTATAATTTTTTAATTTTTTAAAATTTAAGTGTCTTATGATTTATTTCTATTCTTTTGTTCATCAAATTCAATAAAAAAAAATTATTAGTTCGTTGATATTTATTTTTAGAGGTCGCTCGAAAAAAATCGGTACACTATACTTTGAAAGTTAAAATAATTATGAGTGACCTTCATGAAATTAAAATATAGATTTGAAATTTTCAGAATGCAGATTTTTTTCAACCTAGAAAATGATAAAATAAGAAAAAAAATAAAAAAAAAAAATTCAATTTTTGAGGATTTTGGAAATTCTTATAAATCTTGAGCGATCTCTAAAAAATTTTTTTTGAGTTGATTTTTTAAGGGGGCTCAAAACTAACATATTCACAAGAGACACGAAAAAAATATTCGTTTTTTTTGGGCCACCCTAATACATATATATACAGGGTGGGCCACCTGTAACGCCTCGGTCGCTAGTGACCAAACGGCAAATGTTACAGAAACCTGTTTAGGTGGGTATGTGTAGGTTGATTATGGCTACATTTTAAAATTATTTTGAGATATACAGGGTGTCCAGGAAAAGCGTACCATATCAAAGTTATGTTTTTTTAAATGGAACACCCTGTATTTTACTGCATTTTTGAAAGCACCGTAAAAAAATAGGTGAACTTTATTAAAGGTTCTGCATACCTAGGACTTACAGTTTGTGAGATATTTCAATTTTAGTGAAAATGCAGGCATAGCGTAGAAATTTAATATTAGCAATAAAAAAATAATTTTAAGGAAGCAGCTTTGGAGGGTCTATTTTAGATCCTTGAAGTTATAAATTGTTATATTTGTCGTCACTTAGTATTATACAGGGTGTTCAAAAAACTGCTGAATACTTCTCTCAACTTTAAACAGCAATAACTTGGTTATTTTAAATGGAACACCCAGTATATTTTTACTTTGGGAGTTGGGAAATTTAAAACTCTTTCAAACTGTGTATAGGTTCCCTATACCTATCTCTAACGGTATTGGAGATATTTGTGCCGTTTCGTTTTTTATCGATTTTTTTTGTAAGATGTATCCACGTGTCTTTATCGAGGTCTTTACTGAATTGGTTTGGGTTCTTCTTGATGACGTCTCTTTAAATATATTGAGAAAAATGAGGATGCAATTAGATGGCGCACCTGCAAATTTTTCATATTCAGTGAGAAATTATTTAAATCGAAAATTTAGTAATAAATGGATAAGTAGGAATGGTGCATGTCAGTGGCCACGTAGGTGTCCAGACCTCACCGTAATGGACTTCTTTGTTGCGAGCTATATAAAAAATCTTGTATACAATGTTCCACCTATTACTTGCGATGATATTGGAGGGAAGGATTAGAGATGCATTTGCGTGAGAATATCATTTGAAGATAGAATAAGATGCTGTATTCAGGAGAATGGTTATCAATTCGAACATCAATTAAAATTTTTCTTTGTTTTTTCTAAAAGTAAAAGTTCCTTTTATCATTATCATGAAAATATTCAAAAAAGTTTTCTAATAAAAAATATTATTTTATAAGCAGAATGATTATAAAAAGTTATTAATTTTGTATAAATATGTTTGTAGTAAGTAACTGAATTATTTATGAACAAGAAAAATATTTATTAAAGAAAATTTTACTTTTAGAAGAAACAAAGAAAAATTTTAATAGATGTTCGAATTGATAACCTTTCTCTTGAATACAGCATCTTATTCTATCTTCAAATGATATTCTCACATTCCTTAGAATAGTTATTTGGGGTGATATATCTAATCCTTTTCTTCATATCATCGCAAGTAGTAGGTGGAACACTGTGTACAAGATATATATTTATACAGCCCGAAACAAAGAAGTCTATTACGAGAGGTTTGGACACCTGTGGTAGCCACTGACATGGACCATTCTTACCTACTCATTTATTACTTATTTATCGATTTATATAATTCCTCACTGAATATGAAAAATGTGCAGGTGCGCCATCTAATTGCATTCACATTTTTCTCCTTATATTTAAAGAGACGTCATCAAGAAGAACTCAAACCAATTCAGTAAAGACCTCGATAAAGACACGTGGATACATCTTACAAAAAAAAAATCGATAAAAAACGAAACGGCACAAATATCTCCAATACCGTTAGAGATAGGTATAGGGAACCTATACACAGTTTGAAAGAGTTTTAAATTTCCCAACTCCCAAAGTAAAAATATACTGGGTGTTCCATTTAAAATAACCAAGTTATTGCTGTTTAAAGTTGAGAGAAGTATTCAGCAGTTTTTTGAACACCCTGTATAATACTAAGTGACGACAAATATAACAATTTATAACTTCAAGGATCTAAAATAGACCCTCCAAAGCTGCTTCCTTAAAATTATTTTTTTATTGCTAATATTAAATTTCTACGCTATGCTTGCATTTTCACTAAAATTGAAATATCTCACAAACTGTAAGTCCTAGGTATGCAGAACCTTTAATAAAGTTCACCTATTTTTTTACGGTACTTTCAAAAATGCAGTAAAATACAGGATGTTCCATTTAAAAAAACATAACTCTGATATGGTACGCTTTTCCTGGACACCCTGTATATCTCAAAATAATTTTAAAATGTAGCCATAATCAACCTACACATACCCACCTAAACAGGTTTTGTGTAACATTTGCCGTTTGGTCACTAGCGACCGAGGCGTTACTGGTGGCCCACCCTGTATATGTATATTTTTTAATTTTAAAAATTTACAGGGTATTTGTAAATAAGTGCGAAATATTTTAGTGGGTGGTTGCCAAAGTTATTTTGTGAAAGAAGTTCATACAAACGTAATTCGAAATATGCTTTGTTTCCAAGATACAGTGTTTAAATTAAAATTTTTTATTTACTCTTATTAATTATTTCAAAGAGCTTTAAAGATACTGACTTGAAATTTGAAAAACACTTTGAAGGGGTGATCCGAATTTTTCTGCTTGCACCAGTGGCGTTCGTGCGAGAATGCCACAACCTTTTATAATAAAAAAAATGGTACGCCACTGACTTTTCCCCATTTTGATATTTTTTTATAAATTCGCCATCAATTCTGAATGAAATTGGTTTCTTCAATTTTTTTTCGTAGGATGTACCGTTTTTAAGAAAAAAATAAAACATATTTTATTGCAAGATGTGTATGTTTAATTTCTGTTGCTACATTATCTAGTCGGTTGCTGTCAATATTTCTAAATAAAATACAATTATCAACTTTCGAGTCAATATCTTTAAAACTCTTTGAAATAATAAACATAAATACAAAATTAAAATTTAAACACTGTATCTCGAAAACGAAGTATATTTCGACCTATGTTTATGTGATATTTTTTCACAAAATAACTGGCAACCACACACTAAAATATTTTACAAACTTCCTGTATATACTTTACACGGTGACCAAAAATGGGTAACTGAGTTATAAGCACAGGGCCTTTATAATCAAGCAGACTGCACTGCAAATGTTTTGTGAAAATTTTAGATGACAGGGTTAGACATAGATTAGCTGGTAATAGTGTTTATGTGGACAGGATGTTCTTACAGAAGTTTATGCCGGAGCTAAACGATTTTCTGCATTATCGAATAATAAATGTCTCAACGGTTAAAGAATTGTGCATGAGGTGGGATCCTGATCTATGCAACGCGTTACCAAAGAAAGAAAACCATCACAGAGCCCTAGAGGACATCAGGGAAAGTGTTTATGAATTAAAATTCTACAAAACCCACTTTTTTAAAAACTAATGAAAAATTAAACAGTTTTAGAAAGAACACTAACAATATCTTTATATTTGAACAAGTCATTGCAGATTAAAACTGTATAGGTATCATGACGAGGTACATCGCTATGGAACCTAATATCATAAAAAGGGCCGTCAGATCTACATTGAACAGTCCCCAAGCCGTAAATCGGAAGTTTCTGCCATGGATTTGTTCCGCGAATATCATCAGATATTCCTTAATACATTGTTCTTCCTGACCTAGTTCTCCTCGTACGTTTATCAGAAGCTTGTATGCTATGTCGAGAGTATCTTTCTCTTGTTTAACCACGTCGTCACATACGTACGTCAGCAGGATGCAAAATACCTGTAACAGACATTAAAATGTTCTTAGAATGCTTGTAGTGAGCCACTTTTAAGGAAAATATATCAATACCGTTACCATTTTTCATGTATTTGCAGTGCTATGATGTTTTCGTGAAATAAGAAAAATATGTAGTTAATAATAATACGCACGTCCAGATAATAGAAATAAATTTAAATTTGCATTTGCATTGCTACTGAAAAAGAGATTATGATGCCCCAATCTTTAAATAAAAAACAACTTATCTGGAGCATTTTTTATATTTTTCCTTAATGTGTTTCGGCACGCGCGCCGCCGCAACAAACACAAGACACAAGTCATACGAGGGAGGATGAAGGGAGTAATAAATGTATTGTTGCCCTGCCGCCCAATGTGCGAAGGAGATGCCTTTGTTTTTCATTTTGTTCTTCATAAATATATAACTATTAATCCATAATGCATAAACAAATTATTCAATTTCCAAAACCCCCTAAAACGTATTGCACTGATTCCCTTGACAGGCAATGATTTATTACTTTGCATCGAATATGATCCTACTATAGTGACTTATAGGCTACATTATTCCTTTAAAACCAAAGAAATTTTGGTACCATTATATACAAGTGTTGGATAAATTTAATATATTTAATACTAAATGTGTACTACGTATGTTACTATTTCTCTATACATACTCACCACGTATGTTACGGCAAGAGTGAAAATAGATGTCAGTTTCCAGATATTATCAATCACTGGTAGTTCACTGGAGGCATATTTCATAAACAAGTTACAAATATGGAGAACCATAACAGTATTACTGAGCAGTAACATCAAAAAATGGAAACTATGTACACTATTTGTCACAGTCAAAGCTGTAAAAAGCTCGTTATACGTCTGAATGAATCCAAAAAATTGTTGTATTCGTGCATTGGCATTCCCAATAATCACCCACGGATAAGAGTGCATCATTGTTTGATACATTTCCCTGTTCAGAATCTTGAGACACGTGCCAATATCGCTAAGTTTGGCACACATATTCGTTACCAAAAGTGCAGTCTGGGTTACCAGAAGGAAAAGCGGACCAAAAGCTTTGCTATGCAACAACCCCGCGACGCTACGGCTGTCGATATACTTGGTTATACATGCAAATGTGATGGATGCCAGAATCAATGTAGAAATGAAAAGAAATCTCTGTCTGTTGCGAGCTATCTCGGTCTGATATTTACTATATGACTCCTCAAACCGTTCGATGATGAGAGAGATCTCGTTGATTTTTTGTGTTTTGAAAAATAGTATGTCCAATGACATGAGGAAATTTGTTAGGAACAGTATAATCCTGAAAGACATTTCGATTATTATAACGGAAAGCAAAAGATATCTGGTTAAAAGCAGCCTATTCCAAACTCCTTGTAGCTGATATGTAGTATTTATAGTCCAATAGAATATGAAGTAAATAATACATAGGTGCTTATTTTTTGGATTTTCGAAAACGCAGAAAACTAGCGAAATATATCTTAATATATAATGCAGTTTGGATTTTTTAGAGCGTGGTATTTCATTCGGACACATTGTGGACAATACTTTTGGAAGTAGAATTCAATTTGGCTGCCTTTTAGATTAAAATATACCAATATTTATATACGATAGCACCATATTAGTAAAGTAATAGCCATTTAGGTGATTAGGTTTCTCTGAGTAATAACTTACATTTAGATAATTGGATAGATACCAGTGGGGACTCGTGACACTGAGAATAAGTGAAGCATATTATTGATTGACTAAAAAGAAAAAAAAACGTTCAAATTTTCAAGGTCAAACAGCTTTAAATGAATCTTGAAATTTTTAGTTGCATTTGCAATATTACCGAAAAACTGACATTCGCTAGAATGAATTATCATTTAGATCTTATAAAAAATAGACATATTTGTTGGGCTTGTGGACTTCTGCGAATATTAACACACACCGTATATGTATGTTGGAAAGAAGCTTCGTGGTTACGACAATCTCGCGTGACGTTCCCAAAGTTGTTAAATCCTTCCTTTTATTCCACACGCCCGAAAAACACTTCCACATAACCACTTATACTCCGAATACCATTCGTTTTGAAACTTCCGAACGACGTACACATTGTCTTTTGACTTCCCCTTTTTTCCATATCGAGAGAGTAGGTCTCTCGCAATTTAAAAAATCCTATTTGACCTCAATTTTCCATCTGGAAAATGACATTTCCAATAAAATACCCGCAGCTGAAAATTATTAAATGGACCAGAATTACGTACTTATTAAAATAATGTCTATAATGAATAAATAAATCATATTGAACGTAATATTGATAATTATATACGATGCAATTTACTTTATCGACGGCGAAAACAAGTAAATTTCGTGGAAGAATACGACGAATGGATGAAATGATTGACACATGAGTCGGCAAGACAGCATACGTTACCTAAGGAAGGAATGAACCAATAGATAGTGCAGCTGCTTCAATTTTCGCGTCACTCGTTTCCCCACGCCGTAATTTACTCTCGTGTTGGCCGCCTCGTTGCCATGACAACTGCCGTAAACAGCGCTACGAAGAGAAGCGGAATACAGACTGATTACGATCCGCGTCATTTGCTTAATTTACCACATTCACAAAATGATTCCTATAATCCTTTGACATCAAATTACGGCTTTACCATAAATGTTAATGTTAATATTAATAAGTAGGTAGATTGTAAGTTTGTAGTATTTTAGGTTATTTGTTGACATATTACTGTTTCAAATTGGTTTTCTAATAGAAACTAAAAAAATAAACCAAATATTTGTCTTTTTATGATTTCTATAAGTCACTAGTGGGTTATAAGTCATAACTTACTAGTGACTTATGATGACTTATAACTCACTAGTGACTTATAGGACACATTATTCCTTTAAAACCAAAGAAATTATAGTATGTACCATTAAATACAAGTGTTGGGTAAATTTAATATATTTAATACTAAATGCGTACTACGAATGTTACTATTTCTCTACATACTTACCACGTATGTTACAGCAAGAGTGAATATAGATGTCAGTTTCAAGACATTATCAATCACTGGTAGATCACTGGAGGCATATTTCATAAACAAGTTACAAATATGGAGAACCATAACAGTATTACTGAGCAGTAACATCAAAAAATGGAAACTATGTACACTATTTGTCACAGTCAAAGCTGTAAAAAGCTCGTTATACGTCTGCATGAATCCAAAAAATTGTTGTATTCGGGCATTGGCATTCCCAATAATCACCCACGGATAAGAGTGCATCATTGTTTGATACATTTCCCTGTTCAGAATCTTGAGACACGTGCCAATATCGCTAAGTTTGGCACACATATTCGTTACCAAAAGTGCAGTCTGGGTTACCAGAAGGAAAAGCGGACCAAAAGCTTTGCTATGCAACAATCCCGTGAAGCTTCGGCTGTCGATATACTTGGTTGTACATGCAAATGCGACGGATGCCAGAATTGACGTAGAAATGAAAAAGAATCTCTGTCTGTTGCGAGCTATCTCGGTTTGATATCTGGTATTCGAGTCCTCAAACCGATAGATAATGAAGGCGACCTCTTTAATTTTTTGTGTTTTGAAAAACAGGAAGTCCAGTGACATGAGGAAATTCGTTAGAAATAGTAGAATTCTGAAGGATATTGCGATGATTGTAATGGACGGGAAAACACGCTCGGTTAGTAGTGGCAATCTATTCCAAATTTTTTGCAGATGAATTATAGTACTTGCAGTCCAATAGAATATGAAGTAAATGACACACAGGTGTTTATTTTCTGGATTTTCGAAAACGCAGAAAGCTAGCGAAATGTATCTTAATATACAACGCAGTTTGGATTTTTTTGAGGGCGGTATTTGATTCGGACACATTGTGAACAATACCTTTTGTCGTACAATTCAATTTGACCTGCATTTATATACGAAAGTACCATATTAGTAAATGCATAACCATTTAGTTGATTAGCTTTCTCTGTAATAACTTACATTTGGATAATTAGACAGATGGAGTATTAAAGTAATCGATTTTTGCCGCCACTAAAACATTTTCAAACTGTAAAGTTACTTTCTAACAAATTAGAATGGATTTTGATGTCAGAAATACAAATTAAGGTATTTTTTTCTGTTTAAGGGGAAAATGGCGCTTTATTATTTCGGTTCCATGCAAAGTAATATAGAGACTGGTATACTTTTTCTGTTGCGGTGCTTAAAAATATTGTTATCTCAACAGAAAAGTTTCTATTAATACAGGGTGTTTCAGGATTAATTGGACACACTTTGAGAATATATCTCTGACGCAAAATTAAGTAGAGGAATGTATATAAACATAGGGCCGAAAATGCTACGTTTTCGACATACAGGGTGTTAAATATTCCATAAACAAAGATACGTAAAAATTAAGAAAAATTTCGGAGAATTGAACTTCATTTTCAAAATGGCGTTCAAAGTAGGGGAAATAACAGCTTTTTCATTAAAAAAAACTATGATGTAGAACTTTTTATAACAATAATTTTGAACCCAGTCAATGGAAAAACAAATGTATTAGTTATTGCAAAAAAACGGCTAAAAATCGCGTTTTTTTAAACTTCTATAGGTATCTTTAAAATGAAAAAAGATTATTTTACGAAACTTTCAGAATATGTAGTCCTTGAGAAGAAGAATAAGTGCATTTTTGTAAAATTGCAAAATATTTGATAGTTTTGCAAAAAATGAGTTTCGAAAAAAAAAATTGTTTTTTTCAAGTTTCAATAAATCATACAGTAATGATCTTACGTGACCCATCTTGGGCTTACAATTTTCACTAAGAATTGTACTTTCCTGTGCAAATTGTGCGCGTATTGTAAAATTATTGGAAATATGCGAAAAATCTACCGAAAAAATTTTTTCACGAAAAAAAAAAAGTTGCCCTACGAAAACTATCAAATATTTTGCAATTTTACAAAAATACACATATTCCACTTGCCTGAAACTTTCGTAAAAAAATCTTTTTTCTATTTAAAGATATAGATGTTTTAAAAAAAAAATCGATTTTTACCCGTTTTTTGCAAGAACTAATACATTTGATTATCAAATGACATCAATATATCAAATTTAAATGTTTTATAGCCATTATACTATTTTTATACATGGGCGCTCGCAGAAAAATTTCTCAAGGGGGGGGCCAAATCGAAATTGTATTTAGGAGAAGTTTAAAACATATATCTCACGAAATTTTAGACAGGCAATACGTATCTCCTCTCAAAAGCGTTTACAGTAATGGAAATGCAATTTGTTGGTTTATACTGCAATCAGTCAATTAAACCAATTTTATTATTTTTTTCACGTGAAATAAATTTAAAAATTTTAAATAGAACACCCCGTTTATTATCACATGTTCAAAAGCCTTGTTACAATACAAATTATGATGGAAATTAAATTATCATCTTAATTTTAGTTTATTGAATTTATGTTAATAAAATAGATGTTATAGAAATTACATTTTTTAAATTGCAATTCCCCATCATATTTGGGGGAAAATACGAGTAATAGGTACATGATTTTTATTCAACTGATAATATTTCTGCTACTGTCCAAGAAAATTCCTAATCTCATAAATACAAAACTGCAAAGAAAATTTGATAATAAAGAATATCTACCATTCTACACTAAGTTTCATATCCGTTTTTCAAGCCCCTTAGATAGTTGAAAATTGAATAACGAGGGACTGTCAAGCTTTCAAACGCTTTTTGAAAAATTCGAATCCGTCAATTAGGAGAGCTCTGGCGTTTGTTTAAACATTGGTCGAATTTTTGTACTTATAAACAATTAGAATAACTTGAACATTCAACCAAATCAAATTTTTTAAAATATGTTTTAAAAGTTCTGGGAAAGACGCTTCTTAAAAAAAAACAGATCGATTGGTCAACTAATTACGTTAGTTATAGGCGATCAAAGTTAACCGTCATTTACACTAAATGTACTGGGATATCCGGGCTAATTTTTCGAAAAATATCTTTGGTACTCCGAGTACTTACCAGGTCTAATTTTCCAATACTTTTCTTCATTGGCAACCTACTTTAAAACGTGTTTAAAGTTATTTATGCAAGCGAGAAATTCAAGAAAATCGTACGGGTGGTGGTGGTGGGGGCAGAGAGCGCGGCCGCTTCGGCCTGCTCGAAATTGAATCGGCGAGTTCAAAACCGCGACGCGCTTAAAAATGTTTAAGAAATCCCATTTTGATGATTTTTTTTAAATCGATGTTTCGCGAGTTAAAAAAAACACTTAGCGTATTTTCAAATGCCTATCGTTAATAATTATTGGTCTTTCAACAGTCCGATAATTATTTATCTTTAAACTTCCTTTAATTATCAACTTTATTTTTTTATTGTATCAAAGGTAAGTACATAAACTTATATACTGTTTATCAAAGATCAAAAACAAATGTATTTAAATATTCTAAAATTGTTTAAATAACAATTATTTTCAAAATATGTCGAAAATTAGTAATATAATGAGTTAATTTCTTATTTGCTTATATTTTAAACAATAAATAATATTTGAATTATACTTTAATTACAAAAGAAATGATGATAAAATTAATAAATTAATTATAAAAAATCAGTAACATTTTATTATTTATTCACAAAGTTATTCTAATTGTTTATAAGTACAAAAATTCGACCAATGTTTAAACAAGCGCCAGAGCTCTCCTAATTGACGGATTCGAATTTTTCAAAAAGCGTTTGAAAGCTTGAGTGCCCTTTTATATCTGATTAAATTTTCAAGTATCTAAGGGCCTTGGTTTTTGCCGTGCAACATTTTGAAAATTTGCAAATTTTTTTTCAAAATCTGAATTGCAAAATTATTATGCAAAATTTATAGTATAGAACCGATTTTGACAAAATTTGGTGTGATGATTCTACATAACATGAAGTTTTCTTGAGCCAAATATGAAGGTCCTATACACAATTTGAAGACCTCAAAAAAATTCCCTAAAAAGTAATGTTTTTTAACCACAATTTTGGCGATTTTTTCGTTTTACAATAATAATCATGATTCATTTAATTTGTAACTAGTCATATTTTGTAAAAAAAAATAATTACAAACATTTTTTCCTCTTCCATTTTCGCCTAAAATCAACTCTTGAAAATATACATAATTAAATAGGAAGGAAAATATGACATTTTCGAATTTTTTTAACATATTGTGCCGCCAAAAGTTAAGCCCACGTTTTTTTATGCGCACAGAAAAATTTTAATTTCTAGTGATATTTGAAAGCCAAAAAGCCAAAAATCTTCGTGGATATACGATTCACCCAAACCAAAACAGATACCGCCTAGTCTACCAGTACAGCTCCCCCTTCCTTTCCGATCTAGATCAGCAACTACGCACTTTCATTACAATATTTTTAACACCCAACATTTTCATTTAATTAGTACAATAACGTGCCAGTTAATTATTACACAGGAATACATATCAACTAGTTAGTAATATTATATTTATCGATTGCGATGTTGTTTGTAACGGCGATGCTTCAGTAGTCAATTCAACAGGGAAAGATGATGAAGTTTAAGTCCGACCTGAAGACAATTTATCCTTTAGTGAAACTTTCCAATGTACTAGCCATCGCGCCACCTTATAATTTTGGAGAACAACCTGAACCTTGTACCAGAAAATGCAAAATATATGCGTCAGTTGTGTTAGCAGCGATATTAAGCGGGTATTTTTACAATGTATACGGAAAACTTCACAATGAAATAATCAAAAACTTCGACATGGTTCAAAACCTTATAGACTTCGCAGCTACTGCTTTTTTAACTATGGCCAGCACGTCTTTAACAGTTATTACAGTGCTTTGGAGAGCTGAAAAGTTCAAATCACTTTTGTTTAGTATCGAAAAATTCGATAGTTCAATTGGATTAAAATGTGGGAAAAGTAAACGGAGATTCTGGGCAGGCTATATTGCCTTACAACTGATAACATTATCCACAATATTCATTGACAGCTTCGTTTGGATTAAAACTCTTGGACTGAAAATATACGTGTACTATATTGCAAAATACGTCATGTGGTACCAGTTCAACGTAGGAACTTTTTTGATATTTTGGCTGGCTCTAGAAATAGAAGGGAGGTTCAGAGAGGTAAACCGTTTGCTTATACGTTGTGCTAGAGGTAAAAAGTCTTCATTTCTAATACCGACTCTACTGTACGAGTATTCTATAGTGAATAGGAAAGACAAACCGTTCTACATCAGAATACCTGATACAGTTCTTTTAAGAAGCATAAAGTTCTGGTACAACGACTTTGTTACACTGGTCGAGGAGTTTAATTCAATTTTTGGGCTGAACCTTCTATTTGTTATTCTGTTTAACATAACGAACGTTGTACATTATACCGAGATACTCATGCTTCACGTAATTTACAAGAAAGTTGAGACGGATTTTGAAGTCGGATTTATTTTTCTGAGTCTCATGTGGATAACTGTGGCATTCGTGAGTAAATAGAGTATATTTATGAAGTGCTCATTGTTGGGCTATTTCTTTTTAGGTGCAAACAATGGCAATAGCAGCTGCTTGTGAAAGTTTGGCCAACGAAGCCGGTGGAATAACCGCAATTTGTTACACTCTTCTTAGCGAGGTATCCAGTTTTCCAAAAACTGATTATGAGGCGGCTTTGAGAAAAGAACTTCTTCTTTTAGCCGAACAGACTGGTGCCGGTCATCCAAAAGTGTCAGCTGCGGGATTTTTTGAAGTAAATTTTGGGATGATGGGCTTTGTAGTTGCCAGCGTAACGTCGTATATTATTGTAACTATCCAGTTTATGTAAAATTTGTTTTTTATTAATATTGTTTCCGGTAATGTCTAAGTACTATATTTTTGTCAAAGCTTTATGGAAATAAAGCATAAAAGTTAAAAGTCATAGACCTTAGAAAATTGTAATTATTTTATCAGAATTTCAAGTCAAAAACATCGCGTGCGACCGAGAGCTGCGTTCACGCACATGCGCGGGCTCGACGCTCCTTCTCTCTCGTGCTAGAGCGTTTATTACATGAACTATCAATGTAAAACTATCTGAAAATAAAAGTTTAACCTTTTCTTTAATTGTCTCTCCGATACATCCAATAGTTAATTAACAACAACATTATAAAAAAAGATATCTTTGGAACAAAGAGGCGTAGGTGATTTCTTTTTTTTTTTAAATTACCGTAAAATTAAGCTCTATTTAATGCAAAAAGAGCGAATTCCCGAGCAGCTTTTACCTGGCCCTGGGACAATTTATTTATAACGCTGTTTTGCACGTCCTATTTTGTTAGTTGTAAAGAGCAACTTAATATCAACCTTTTGCAATTTTTCTTTATCGATACGTCTCTTTAGATCAATTAGAACATATCTACGATATTAACTTCTAAAATTAACGTTTAGTAATTAAACAATTAGTTGCAAAAAAACGAAGGAAATTAATTAACAAATAGTTGGGGCAACAATTTCATCGGTTTTTGACACACATGTTAGTCCTTGAATCGATCGTCTTTTCCATAAATTTCTTATATAGTATTTTTTCCTGACCATATAATTTCTTGAATAATTATTAATTTACTGGGAGAACAGGTCACAATTAAATAATTTGTTGTAAACCAAATTTTTTATAAAAATTTTTTATTACGATCGTTTCGAGAACTTCAGATAAAAACAATAATAACCATGGATTATAATATTTTTCCTTATGTAAAAATTAAAATATAAAAATATTTTAAAATACCTAGTTATAATAAGACAATACACATTTAAAAACATTTTAAAACTTACAATTGGTCATCAAATATTGTTTACATCTTTTCCTATTAACCATATTATGTAAAACAATAAAATAACCACATTTTCTTATTTTCTATTATATTAATAAAACAGTATATAGAAATTAATAGCGTCAGAAAACGAATTGAGGAATGTTCAAAAGAAATAGTAACGGTTTTTTTTATCAGTATATAGACGATGTACAGGTACTTAAACTTAAATCTAATTTTATAATTAATGGATAAATGTAAAAATGTGCAATGATTATATTACTTAATTAGGTCAAAATAAATATACGATAATCCATCAATGTCACTGTTATTAGTGTTATTATCAATTGAATTTTCATTTCTTTTAATTTGTATCTTTTCCAAAATGCATCTTTTATAATAATTACTTTCGTTATTACTATTATTTTTTCTAGAATTCTGATTGTATGTACCATAAGTTCTTTTCTTATAATTGGATCATAAAATTTTGTTGGATAATTATTAATTTCTAAAATATTTTTAATTTTTTTGATATTTTTTGGTCTATTTTTTGGATGTGATAATTTTATTGCACGATCGGTTAACTCATTTATAACACTTCTTTTGTGAGTATTAGGTGAAAATGAATTAAAATTTAGATATCTTTTAGACCAAATTTTTTTGTAAATCAATTTGTTTCAATTTTTCCTTCATTATTGTAGGAAATAGTTAAATCAAGAAGCTGTAAATTGTAATCTAGGATGAAATTTGTTGAATTCATTATTAATCAATTTTATTTTTTGGAATACAAATATTTTTTGTAAAAATACGGTTTAAAATTTAAATTTTGTAAAACATTATTTTATCATTCGTCTAAAACTAAATTCGCAATTGTTGCTGAGATAGGTGCTCCCATTGCAGTTCCAATATTTTTTTTAATTTAAACAAAATTGTTTATAAGCGTGAAAATTGCGAAAATATTAAAACAATCACCACGGCTCACTTAATCGTCAGATTTGAATTTTTCAAAAATCATTTTAAAGCTTGAGAGCTCTTCTTTTAGGCTTTAGATTTTTAGAAATTTGATTTTGAAAATTTTTTAATAAAAAAAATTAAACAATTAGGTATTATGTAAAAACTATTGAACCGAATTGGATGAAATTTGGTGTGATGATTCTATGCACCAAGAAGTTTAATTGCGAAAAGTATGAAGGTCCTTGGTATTATTCAAGTGTCTGAAAAAAATTGACAAATAAACTAGCATTTTCTGAAATTTTTTAAATGATTTTTCCGATTTTTGCAATAACAATAATTATTTTTTCGAATTGCAACTAACTCTATCTTGATCAAAATTTAATTACAAAACTTTGTTTCCTTTTCCATTTTTGTCTAAAATGAATAGTTGCTAAGTTGTCGACGAGAAATCCAAGAAAAAATGATTTTTTTTGCTATTTCTTTATACTTTTTTGCAATAACAATTAAGTCCACGTTTTTTTTTATTTACATAGAAAAATTATCATTTCTGATATTATTTAGAAGCCGTTAAAGCAAAAATCTCCGATCATATGCGTTTTACCCAAGTACATATAGGGCTGAATCAGCCCTATTTTTTAACTTAGCGATGTTGCCCAATTCCGATTTGATGGGCTCTCAATTCGATTTTATACATTTCTATTCGATTAGGAGTTACAGAATAGGGCTAATTTTCATTCTACATATCTTTCCCCCTCATAAAGTGCAATGAAATGTCTCCTAATAATTTTTACGCTTTCAAACTCTAATTCGACTGGAGTATTAATCGATGCCAGGGACAATATCATCAAGAACTTTATTACCTCGACCTTTAAAAATCATAAAAGTTTAAATTACCAACGTTGATGTCTGATTTACACATTTTATACATCACATGACGTGACACTCAAAGCAAAACTAGTAATTATTGTATGCACGTTTCAAAAAATGAAATAGACAATGGCAAAAGAAGAATCTCAATCTAGTATAGATGCTTTGAGCCCTATGTTCAAACTCTGTACTGTTCTAGCGTCGTTTCCTCCGTATTCCTTCCATGGGAAATTTAAAGCTACTGGAAAACGATATAAAATATATACCCTATTCTTCTTGGTGTTGATCATATGTATATCTTCTTGTCAAATTTATGGAAGAATAACTTGCAGATTGGAAAAACTAATGGCACTGGCAGTGAAATTACCCGAGGATTTCTCTAATATATTTTTACTTGTCCTAGCTGCAAGAACAGCTATTTTAAACTACACGCATTGCGATGAACTAAAACAACTCTTGTACAGATTAGAACTTTTTGACAAAGCGATGTCGAAAAACAGTACAAGGAGAAAATTGTTCCTTACAGCATTTACGGTTTTGCACCTTGCTTTAGTAGTTGCTGCTGGTTTTCACTGTATGGCATTCGGATTCACTTTTGGAATGGAGTATTACAAATGCAATTTTGGGAAGTATTTCCTGATCTACCTAACTTCTATCAATCTGATGATGGTTGTGTGGATGGGCGCGGAAATCAGGTTCAGATTCGATACCCTCAACGATTATCTTCTCAAATATGACTACCACTTACATGAAACGAATAGAACTGCTGATGTTTTAAAAAGAGTGTCAGTTCATTTGAAATGCGTAAGGATGTGGCATAACGATTTATGCAATCTGGTTGAGAAATACAACGATCTTTTCGGGATCAGCATGTTGCTGTTTGTTTTGTTTGATACATCGAACGTCTTAAGCAACACGGTCACTGTTTTGGACATAGTTACTGCCCCAAGAGAGTCTAGTGAGGATTATTTGTTGGGATATATAATTTTTGTTAGTTTGATGTGCTTGGTCTTCAGTTTGGTAAGATTTCCACATTAAATATCAGTTAGCAACGGTTGGTCATGTTGATACAATACATAGCTCACCACCATTTATACAGGGTGTTTCATAACTCTGCCGACACACAGCAGGCACGTGTAGAAGATCTTAAAACATACTGTTGATCAGTCATTGGCTTTTGAAGATGAGTGTTAAATTTTGAGATACAATAATATGTATTTCAGCACTGTCTTAACATAGAGCAACCAAATTTGGTATATGATTTGCGTTTATTATCTTTCATTGGTAAAAATATGAATTTGTTGGAAACCCAATAAGAGCCGGACTAGGGGTAGAGCGCCCTTAAAATGATATTTATTCTTTTATCAATCAGTATGCCAATTATTAAATAGTTTTTGCCAGTATTACAGGAAAATTAATTTTAAACATTTTTTTACTCTTACAAATTTTTCGGAAAAATAACGGTTTTTGAGAAAATCGGGATTTTGTGGATCAGCGTCATTACTAACTGAATGAATCGGATAAACAATAAAGTATGCAGTTTTACGACTAGTAGGCTATGATTGTCTGTGTAGTTCTAAGTACATATATAGTGCAGTCAGTGAAGCTTTTTACCTTCGAATTCTTTGAAACTGAACCGATAGACTTGAAATTTGACAGATAGTCAGAGAAAAGGTCAATGAACATTAGTGACATAGCGCCGATTGACGCTTCCACCCTGTTGGGGGTGGATTTTTTTTTTAAATAACGCTGGAAATCGACAGAATCAAATTTTAAGCAAAAAATATTCGAAAAATTTTTTCGAGATATCAATAGTTTTTTTCACGATTGAAAACTTAATTTTGAGTGAAAAAAACACTTTTTCAAAGTATTTTTCGCGAATCACTCAAAAACTACGCATTTTATTAAAAAAAGTGTAATGAACAAAAATGTTGCTTATAAATAAACAAAGAAAATCGTTTTTTAAAAAGTGTTGTACGTCCTATACAAAGCGAAATATGGTTAGTGGAAGGGGACTTGTTTTGGAGGAATACTCGAATCGATGTATTCAACGTTAAATAACGGAAAAAGGATTAATTTTACGTGTATAACGCTCCTAGAGTTTTTTGTAGTTCTCAAAAACTCCTTCAAAATGAGCACTTATAAAAGTCAATTCAAGCAAAATTGAAGGAGTTGTCAAAAACAGATGGGTTGCTCATACTTTTTAAGGAAAAATGAGCAGTAAACGCTGTACGATTTCCTTCAGAATTAAAATTAATCATAGACCCTTTACAATTAGTTTTGTTTTAGTGTTTTTCATACGATCCTGAAGTTAGACCGGTTTAGAATGCGTATTTTTTGAATAATGTACGGTAAAAGTTGAAAACGTATATTTCATTATTCAAAAAAATGCCTTATTTATATAATAACTCTGAAACTATGAAAGATACGTAAAAAATGATAGACAACAAAAATGTAGCTTTTTTTTCAACAAATATTTTGTTTTTTTTATTCCTATAGCATAAAAAATAAAGGAGATATCGCCGCTTGAAGTATCCATTTTAGTGAAAAAACGACCTGTCTCGAGCCCTTCGATCCTTTCCCTTTAAAAAACGAAGGACTTAAAAGGTTTTATATGCAAACGATCTTACAGCTCTTGAAATTATCTTTAAAATGCTTTTTTGTAGGATACTATAGCTTCAAAATTAACCGAGTTATGGTAAAAAAACCAATGACATTTTTTCGGAGCAAAATAGGCTTTCTCGTTATTATATATTATACAAATAAAATAAGTAAAAAAATTTAGTGTGATTATTTATATGCAGCGTAGCAATTTTTTTATGATTGATTATATTTAAAAATCGATTATAATAAAAATATTTTACATTAATATTGGTAAAAGGGTAGTTTATAAGAGTTGAAAATGGCAAAAGTAAAATATTCTTTCATAAACAATATAAGGGAATTTTTATTTTAAATTATTGCACAATTATAGCATTCCAAGATTTAAAACGTAATTTTTTATCATTTTTTTAGCACAGGGGTGATTTATAAGGGTTGAAAAGTGTTATGAGATACAAATTCTTTCATAAGCAATGAGGGAATTTTTATTTTAAATAATTGCACCGTTACAGCATTCCAAGCTTTTAAAAAGCAATTTTTTATCATTTTTGTTAATGGTTGAAAGGGAAAAATTATTTTATTAGCAATACGGTAACTTTTATTTTAAATAATTGCACGATTTAATCATTCCAAATCTTTAAAAAGTAATTTTTTATTATTATTTTTTGCATAGGGGTAGTTTTTAAGGGTTAAATAAAGGGTTGAAGAATCAAATATATCATAAAACATGTTCTAGAACATGGAACATTATTTAATCTTTGTGCTTGAATAAGATTTCTATCAATGAAATGCTTAAAACTTAATTTTTTCCATTTTTTTTCACTTACGGGTTGTTTTTACCCCTAAAAACAAATAGCATCAATCGGGCTTATGTCACTTTTGAACTTGAACCTAAGATGAGCCTTATTCTAAATTTTCATGCAAATCCATGCAAAGAATTCGGAGGATACAGCTGATTTTCAGCTTCAATGACTGTACTAATATAGCTATAAAGTGCATGTTTTGTACAACTTGTTAATTTTAAATATTTAGTTAATATGAGCGAGATATCTTGGAGAAGAAAGGTCATATAGAGATGATCCAAAATTGAAATTAAAGATTGGTTTTAAGTTAACGTACACAGTATTGAGTAAAAAATATATCTGAGTATGACATAACCTCAAAAACATGTCAAAATAACATTTTTGCACTTTTTTTTTAATCTGAATATTCAATATTCTGATGCTGATGAGTCAGTTTGGATTAACTGCGATAAACTACACCGCAAAACACTACCACACTCGGAAAAAGCCTTCCAAACCTTTCAGTAAGTATTATATTTTAGGTTAGAACTCTAATGTTGGCCCTATCTTCCGAAAATTTGGCTAGAGCAACTGAACGAATGACAATTATCTGCTACAAGTTGCTCAACGAGGTACCAGTAGTACCGGAGACAGATTACGATACAATGTTAAACGAAAAGTTACATCTCATCGCACGTCAAGGCTTTTTTAGGAAGCCCCACGTATCTGGCGCCGGTTTTTTTGCGATTAATTTGGAAATCATGGGAAGCATGGCGAGCTGGGTAACTACGTATATAATTGTTTTTGTGGAATTTCACATAAAAAAGAGCCACTAGGTTGGATATGCCAAAGGATAAGTCATAGATTATTGTTTCATTAATAATAATTAATAATTTCGTGTATCACACCACGCAAAAACATTACAAACACAATTAGAAGTTATCAATAATTCATGCCTGTTGATTAAAACAGCTGCTCACTGATTTAAAGATATTTTAAATTTCAAAGTTTAATGCAAATAAAAGTGACAATGACTCTAGATGCAATATCACCAATGCTGAAATTTTCTGCTATATTAGCCGTATTTCCTCCATATCACTTTTCTTCAAACTTTCAAAGAACTTCAAAGTTCTACAAATTTTACTGCTTAGTGTTCCTCATTTTTCTAATCACCCTTTTCGTTTATCAAACCTACGGAAGATTCACTTCCAAAATAATGTCGAACATGCCAGTAATTATTCAACTAGTTGATGGAGCAACAAGTTTGGTACTGATGTTGTTCTGTCTCAGAATAATTACTCTGACTTTAACGAAGAGCGAGAATTTAAAATCTCTGGTATATAACCTTGAATGCTTCGATGACTCTATTCAACAAAAGAGTACAAGAAAAGACGTATTTTTGATATTTTATACGGTCGTCAACTTATCTTTGATAGTGTTGGTAGTTACTACTGTTTTAATAGCAAGAGATGTCGTTGGAATGGGTTCATACAGATACCAAATAGTAACCAGCATTCTGTCGTGCCACTGTCACGCTGCTATTTTTGTGATATTTTGGTTAATTATTGAAATTTTGCTGAGATATCGCACTCTAAACAACACTTTACTCACCACTGTGGATATTCAAAGAAACGAATCACTGTATTACCTTTCTGACTCAAGCAAACAGTCACCAATTTTCATCAAGGTAAAATGCAAAGATATTACAAGGGTTGAAGCGTACAATTTGAAAAAAATCGGGCTCTGGTATGATGATATATGTGACGTGCTTGAAGAATACAACCACCTCTTTGGCAAGAATCTTCTACTTTTTGTGTTCTTTGAAATAGCAAATGTATTAAATAGTACCGTTAAAATCTTGTGCCTTACTGTTTTCAGAAGAAATGAAGAGAGGGATGTTAGTGATTTAATCTATTTTTCAGCTGCAATGATTTCGGTCAGTTTGGTAGGTATTACATTAAACTTAAACAGAAATGCTCTATGCCAACGATTTTTTTTAGTTGTCGATGTTAATAATTGCAATAGCAGGAGATGTTTTGGAGTCGGAAGCAAACAGGTTGAGTAAAATTTGTAGCAGGATTTTGAATAATATTGCTGTGGTACCAGAGACGGAATACGACAAAATATTGAGAGAGCAACTTTAGCTGATTGCACACCAAGTGGATTCTAGAAAACCATGTGTTACCACCAGATTTTTCGTAGTGAACCTTCAAATGATGGGTTTTATAGTCACCAGAATTACGGCTTATATAATTGTTGCTTTCCAGTTTATTTCTAAATAGAATTTTTATTTAAATTTGATGCCACTATTCATTTGCAGCACGTATTCTATGGCCAAAAATAAGGGTTTTTTGTTATAATAAATGTGGGGTCTTAGGACAGCTATTGTCTAGCTACATCGTGTCAAAAATTAAAAATAAAATCAATTTTTAATTTTTAATTTATAAACCGCTAGAGATAGTTTAACCAAATTTGGTGTGCGTATTTAGTATGACAGTAGGTATGAAACAAATAATTCACACCTACTGTCGTACTAAATATGCACACCGAATTTGGTTAAATTATCTCTAGCGATTTATAAATTAAAAACTGATTTTTGTTTTTAATTTTTGACACGCGGTAGCTGGACAATGGCTGTCGTAAGACCCCAAAATTGGTGGCATTAGAAAAATGGAAAAATTGTGTTGAAAAACTTTGTTGCTTAGTGTATAATCCTTATATTAGTCTGCATAATAAATTTAATTAGATTACTTGTGTATCAATTTAATTTATCTGCTACAAAACATAATGAGACGAATAAAATTTTATTGTCCATGGCTTCCATGACATTGAAATCTCTTGACTACAGAAATGATAAACCAAAAATTTTTCAATATATTTTTAGGGATATGTAAAGTTTTTGCGATCGTTCCGATATCAGAGAAATCTAGATATAACAAATACTATAAGTTATATAGCTTATTAATTGTTGTTCTAATTATTTCGAACTTTTATTTTTATACCACAGATATTCTATATAAAGAAGCATTTTCTGTTGAAGATTTAGCGTATAAAGTTACTGACTGCCTTGTATATTTCTTTGAATCTGCAGCTGTAGTGGTTTCAATCATAATGAACATATTCCTCAGACCAAACATGTTTAGGAAAATATTTCGGAAACTGACAAATGTTGAAATCTTTACAGGGTCCGCAAAATATGTAGATTTTTGGATAATTTTTGGTTTTCTTCACGTGCTAGTAATTTTCGTTATAATTTATCAACCAACGATATGCCTCCGTTACTCAAGAAAAGACCTTTGTACACCTTATTTGGGAAGAATTGTTCTGTGGTACTATAAAACATTGATAGTAATGATGATGTACGTGACTGTGAAAGAAATAAAGGTAAAATTTACATCTGTCAATGATTTATTGATGAAAACTGGTAGCAAGCTTTCTGGAAATTTTGGAGAAAATCTAGATGACGGAATCGATCTGAATAGTGATAAAAAAGTTTTACTTCAGGACTTAGGGCGTTTAAAAAAGTTATACGACGAGTTGTGTGACGTCGTTGTTCATTACAATGAAGTTTTTGGTGTGACTTTGTTGTCATTTACCTTGGTAACCATTAGTAACCTTTTACTGTGGACTATAGTTGCTATATATTCACAAATTCTGGAAAATAAACTGGTCAGCATCCTTTGGATATCGAAAACTTTAGTAAGTGTTGATTTTGGCTGATAAATTGCTGTAACAATTTAATTTTCACAGGCAAAAATTCTGTTGATCGCTGATGCGTCGGATCATACATCCTGCGAGGCTAGAAACATAACTACAATTTGTTACACAATCCTCAGAGATGTTCCTCCTGTCCCAGAGTTATATCACCACAAGATGCTGAAGGCAGAAGTTCTATTAATAGCGAAACAATCTGCTTGCAGAGCACCTTCTATCAGTGCTGCTGGATTTTTTCATGTTAATTATGGTATGATTGGATTTGTACTGTCCTCAGTTACTTCATACATTATTGTAGCTATCCAATTTAATTCCTAAGAAATGGACATGACCTATCCACTTGTCAAATAAAATTAATAATTATTTAAGTCTAGAGGTATGCACAATTTACTTTCATTCTATCTTCTAAAATCAAAATAGTGATTTAGAATCAATAAATTATTGGGGCAATTACTTCAGATTTTAAGTTTGTGTTATAGAATCAAGTGTCATATACTCCAAAAAGCCACTAGAACAACGAATATTTGTTACATTCTTCTAAACAATGCTTCAACCGTTTCCAATTTGTACCTTCACAAACTGTTGAAACATTAGCTGTTGTACCTGCTCAACAATCTTATTCAACCATTCTTTATGTATCAATTGCTAGATTGGATTCTTGGTCAAGAGTATAATCAATAAAGGTGCTCGTGCAGGGATATTCTACACACACGTGTGCATTTTTCTATCAAATGTTTTGTTCCCCCACTTATATGCTGGTGTTAATAGTCACAAGATACATAGTTGTGATTCCAAAGATTATAAATAGCGTGCTTAGATCCACAGGAAATAGGCCAAGAGCGTTAAAGTGAAATTTGGTGGTAGCTAGATGATCTGCGAACGAGCTTAAAATTATATTAATGTCCTTTTCTGCTCGACGAAGATTCGATCGTAAATTCAGTAGATATTTATAACAAGCATCGGTAGTGCCCTTCACATGGCTAGTGATTTTGTCACACGTTAATATCACTAAAACATATTGTCCCTGAAAGAAAGTATAAGTAAATTATTAATCGTAATGAGGAACCTCAAACAAAAAGTATTTGTTGATCACAAATCCAGAAACAAATCCAGATTACGTTTTTCTGATGTAGATCCAACATCCCTGTTTATGGTTCGTCATAAGTCAAACAATGATTCAAAATTCTCGTTTTTCTTTTAAATTCCATCACCGTTTGTATACATATTTGAATTAAAGGCACGAAATAGATTTTTCTAGATTTGTGCTGTTGGTTTATCAAATGTTAAAGACTTACCGTAAATATGACAATCGTTAATACATTTGTCGTAACGCTTACGAAATAGTTGTACTGCGTTCTTCTTAACGTGACAAGTTTCACAAAGGTGTTACTAAAACTCAGCTGCATCAAAACTAGATTGAGGATTAGCATTAAAAAGTGTGTTTCATAAAGTGACTGTAACTCTTGTAAAATATAAGACATTTTCGAGTAAGTTTTAATGAAAAAACGTATATCGTTTTTCTTATTGTTCATCGAGGTAATGCTTCGTACGGATGTTTGGGTATGCAGACATGTGTCCAAATATTTGTTGAGGAAATTTACCAAATGTTCGACGAATGCAAGATTGAAGTACATTTGAATATACAGTATACACCCATGTATATGACAGCAGAATTGTGCAAAATTAGCTAACAAGTACTCTACTGGAAGTAACTTCATCAACAAGATAAAAAATACTATAAGGGTGAATAGCATAACTACTATTAAAATAAATATGACTGTCAATGTTTTCTCGTCATATTTCGCCCTACGTCCTAACCGTTGAAAACATAATTTTTCTATCTTTTCACATTCAGACTCTAGTTCAATTATTTTACTTTTCCTTACATATAAAAAGTCTAGGGATGCTGAAACTATAGAAATAATGAAACCGATATTACCAGCTTCTGATATTGACGCTAATACTGTAGAAGTACGTGGGTAGGTTACAAAACACCTTACGCAAAATCCATGAATGTGCGCAGCTATCACAATAATCCACAAAAGTGAAATGTAGATTATGTAATAGTACCTATATTTTCCTAATGTCAAAAAAAAGTCTGGGAGACGAAATCCAAAAATCTTAGCCAAGAAGTCCACAATCTTTACAATTTTTTGTTTCCTCCACTGGCTTTGTAATACATTTCGAAACATTTTTTCTATATAGAAGAATATAACTCTTGTATATATGAAAGAGTACAACTATGTCTTACATGCACATATACACCAGTATGCTGATACTTGAATAACAGCTTATTTAATGGCCAAATTGACCTAAATTGTTCTTAATGAATACATCAATTTCCCAATTCATGCAAACAATATTGATAAATGGAAAGTTATTTAATTTTACTAAAACGCAGACAGTAAAAATAACAATTAATAAAAGTTATTGTAGATATATTGTCTTTAACATAACATTCTGTCCCCATTATCTTTTTTGCCTTTCTTTCCTGGAAGAAATGGTAAAGACCAAAGTTTTTGGAAAGGGCCCCAAAGATATATATAAAAACACAACTGAATGTTTTTTTTTTGTTTTTTTAAAGATTTGTTGACCTACCTATTTATGCCTACATTACTACAAATAACACCTTCGTGCTCCTTATTATTATACGTTAATAATAATATAAAATTAAAATTAATATCAATGATTTATTACTAGTATTTTTGTCACAAAATCACCAATTACCAAATTTGGTTTTTCTAAATTCGAATATAACAACTGAGATTAATTTTTTTCTTCGAAATTTGAAACCCCACTTTCAAGGCCTATAACTTTTCTGGGGTGCAACTTAGTATAAAGGTAAGTGACGTTAAATAACCATATTTTAGGTTCCCCATGCCCTTGCTCTGTGTCTTCTTATGTGAAACACCCTGTAATATCACATAAATTATGAAGTAGATCCTGGACATATGAATAAAATATCTCCGCAAATTAGTGTCATTATATTAATGTCCGACTTGCTACTGAAACACTGACCAAGCATGATGTGGCATGTGTTGACGAAACTATGCTATTTCTTGGCAATTGTTCCAATTTTTACTGAACCAGCTCGTTCTATCCATCAAATTTATACTCTTGGAGTTTTATCTTACTTAATATTTAGTATAATCTGCAACACAAAGGGAAAACTTACAGGTGTCGAAAACACGGGGTACTCTGAAATCATTTTAATTTTAGACGTAACTTTTTATGTGTTCCTATCCATCACTGTTATAACAACGGTAGTAACCACTATGTTTGTTAAATCCGAGAAATTGAAAAAAGTGCTTGAAAATCTGGAAAAAATCGACAGACATCTGAACAATGACCAGAAACCTCCTCAGTTGTGGACAGTTTTCGTCTTACTTCACGTAGTGATAATACTTGCTTTGCTAGGTGACTTAACAATGTTGTCAAGCTTCTTTGGAGGTCATGCTTATCAATACCACGCATCCAAAATTTTGTTGTGGTACCACTTAACCATAACTACCATATTATTATCTACTTTGGCGCATGATATTAAGCGAAAATTCAATTCTCTGAATGAAAAAATAGAGGGATACTGGAAGAAAATCCATGAAAAATATAAAGGAATCAGATACTGCAAAATTCAGTCGCACACTAGATTGAAGGTATCGAAGAATTTTGAAACGTTCAGGAATTTCTATGACACACTGTGCGACATTGTCGACGATTGTAACCGAATTTTCGGGACCGTACTTTTATTTTTCGTACTGACTAACATCACTAATATTGTTTATTGTATATTTGCCTTTATGTATTTTAATATGTGGCAAGTTTGGATTGTTGGATCCCTTTGGATAGCAGTGAGTACGGTAAGCACAAAACAGAAAATTATGTCAAGATTTGACTAATATAGGTATAATATAAATAATTTCGTTTCAGTTTTCTAACCTGTGAATTAAAAAAATTAAGAAATGTTTGTTATAGGCTCAAGTTGTTACGATTTGTGTCATCTCAGAGAGCATATCCCAAGAAGCTAGCAGAACAACGAACATTTGCTACATTCTTCTAAACGATGTCCCCGCCGTCCCCAAATCGTACTACCACAAGCTGCTGAAAGATGAGCTACTGCAAACTGCGGAGCAATCTTTCTCGAGAGTACCTCAGATATCAGCTGGTGGATTCTTCGATGTTAATTTAACTGTGGTGGGATTCATGCTATCAAGCGTTGCTTTTTATGTAATAGTTGCTGCCGAGTTGGAATCTAGCTGATTATGAAAATGACGAACATTTATAACACAATAGTCAGATGATGTAAGCGATAAAATTATGTACACAGGAAAGTTTTTTATTTAGTTTAGAGGTGTAGGTACAAATAACACATTTTAAATTTATTTTCATTTTATTGTACTACTCATATACAGTGTTGACACAAACTAGCATTTTTTTAAATAGAACACCCTATATATTTTTGCATATTTGGATAGCCCTATCAAAATGCAGCAAAATGATATAGGGTTTATGGGTGCTTCGATGGGCTGTTCTCCTAGTGGATGCTCATAAATCCGAAAACAGACAACGATTCAGCCATTTGTAAACACTCAGTATGATGTAGTTTCAACGAATTTGTGATATAAACAATCATTGATAGTCTTGCTTCTGATAGTTTTCGTGTAAATGAACTTTAAAATTAAATTTTCTTTCATTTTTAACTTTTCTGGCGCCCAATAAAATATCTGCTCAGTTACGATTGTGCATTTACAAAAGTTAAAAATTTGTATTATTTTTATTGATGTTTTTTCGATATTCTGAACGGGGGGGGGGGGGGGGGTTTGTTAGGTCACCTTTCGCGTCCTTCTAAGGTTAGTTTGTTAGAATCTTCAGACGAAATGATAGATAGGGATACCAGAATTAGTTTTTCGATATTTTCAACGGTTAGAAGATACGGTGGGGCCTTGTTAAGTCACGTGACTTAACACCAACCAAATTTGGACAGGGCATAGCTAATACAATGCGAAACATCGCCTTGTTGTCACAGTGTTCTTGGTGGTGAAAATTATAAATATTTGGTCACGTGATTTGAAATTGGTGAACAGCCGGTATCTTTTATATTTCTCGACCTAGAAGAATGCGGTTTGGGTTGCTGGAATCTTGAGACGAAATGCTAGTTAGTATTTCGATAATTTCAACGGTTAAAAAGATACTCATTTTCTTTGTTTGGTCACATTTAAGTCACGTGGCTTTAGAAAATGGCGAACAATCCTCAACTTTTTTATTTTTGAACCTAGAAGGACGCGGTCTGGTTTGCTAGAATATAGGGACGAAATGCTAGAGAGACACCAGGCTTAGATTTTCGATAATTTCAACGGTTTAACATTAATTATTATAATAAATAAATTTGCTTTGCAAATTGTTACTACTTAAGCTTCTTAAATTATGTTTATATTTATAGAAGTAATGGTTTCGAGATAGAATTCTAGTAGTACAAAGTACAAAGAGTCGCTGTTAAGTTTTTGTAACAGGTGTATACTCTATTTTTTCCTATGTACCTTTGTTTTCTAGATATCGACAAAAAATATTATATTCTTTATTCTTTCTTGTCAAAATGCTCATTATGCTTTTATTATATTAAAATCAGCTCTACTTATCTAAAGGTATTATCACTAGGTACATAGCTATAGACGCGAATATCATGAAAAATGCAGTCAGGTCAACTGGGAACAAACCAGAAGCTGAAAAGGTAACATTCGAAGAAGAAAGATGATCAGCAAATAACTTCAAGGCCAACTTGTCATCACATTCCTCGTCAAAAGTAGGATTATCTGGTAGAGTTATCAAATTTCTGTAACAAGCGCTGACGGTGGTCTTTATTTGTTCAGTAACTCTATCACAAATTTGAGTTATCATGATACCATGACCCTAGAAATAAAATATCACAACGAATACAAACAGTTATGGCATAGTAGTGTAAGAACTAAAACAGATCTTAAAATCTTTGACGTTTCGAGAGACAATATGAGAGTTTACAATTCTGTAACAATTGGCGTAAAAATCCAAAACCGGAACATTACAGATCACTGACGTCAAGAGGAACATCATGGACTTAGTACACAGCGAATGTAAATACCGGCAAGAGGTCCTAACCTCAGTTTCCATTAAAGAAGAGGGCGTTATGTTTCTCGAAACGTAACGAGGAGATTTATTTGTAATAGGAATATACTTACTGTAAATGCTGCAATCAAAAATGCATCCGTGATCAAGGTGAACGGGTTGAAAGGTCTACCCGATCTCTGAGCCGCTACTTTTAGAGAAAAGTTACTGAAATGCAGCACCATTACAGTAACGTTGAGTATTATCGTTAAGAAATGGAACCCGTAGAGGCTATTCATCCTACCAAAAGTCTCCAGTAGTTCTGAGTATATTTCTATGAATATTTTCAAATTGCTCTTCCGGGGCCTGATCGTTGATACGGTCCAAACGGCTGACTTTTTCTTCATACGTTCTTCCATGTAGTTATTCATAACTTTCAGCAAGTGTTCCGTGCGGAAAAGGTCCAGGTACAATTTAAAACTCAGCAGTGATATGTAGAAAATGTTGGATGACATCATTGAATAATAACTAAAGATGTTCCTAAAGAGCAAAAGCATGTAAACAGTCGTGAGAATTACGCAACTTAAAACTATCGTCATTATTGTAATAAATATTCTTGTTATCCTTCTCTCGTCATATTTTATTGAAATCGCTAAATACCGAACGCACTGTTTTTCAATTTTATCCAGCATAGCTTCGATTTCCATCTTGGAGTTCCTCCTTAGAATAATAAAATCCATAGACGCTGAAAAGTTCGCTATAACCAAGCAAACGTGGAAAGCTGCTTCCAATACCACTATCGAAGCTACCATGGTGTAATAAAATATCGCGCGCCTTATGAAAACCTCGTGAAAATTTGCCAATAACGCCATGATCCAAAAGAATAAAAAGTAAATCAAGTACAAGGTTTTATTTTTTCCACTGGAGAGGAATTTTGGTGGACTGAGACAAAGAACCTTCGCCATGAAATTTACAAGTTTCACAACTTTTATATCTTTCCATTCCGTTAAAACACCCTTTGGTTCCTCTGCGAACATATTTCCGAGGTAAATGAATATCTAAAGCAACTGCTAGTATACATAATAATTGCCGTGCGGTGATAAATTTGACATCGTTACCTTCTTTACAGAGCGAGCCAAATAAATCGAGTAACATTATAACTATATCATCGTGTAATAATTATTTATTAGTAACAAAGATTTGTTTAGATGCCGTCAATAGTAAAAAATATGTATCAAATTTGATACTGGCTCAGGAGATGTTAAAAAAATTGCAACAGCCTGTAAAAGTTTGACAGTCGAACCCCACAACGCAATTAGTAGTAGAGCGATATCCAAATGCAAATTATATAAAAAGTAAAATAAACAAACAATCCTAATTCAATGCCGGTAGGGGCATATAGCTCTCGGAGTAGTTGTTTCTTGCAACACTGACAATTCAAACATTGTGTTACGCCCTCTGTGGGTGACAGTCGTGAAACAAGTACCTGCAATATAGCAGGTCGCTTCCTACTGTAGCCATTTGAATGGCACAGTTGGGAGTCCGCACGGCAGGTGGAGCCATTTGCGCATCCGTGTACAATCCTAATAAGTTCATTTTTTTGTTCCATTTGCGTTCAATTATACTATTGGAAAATACAGGGTGTTAATGAACTTATGTCAAAAATTTAAAGGGGGTGAAAAAGGAGCAAAAGGAGAAAAAAGCTAATTAAAAATGTGTTCAAAACTGTTTTAGAACTGCTGAAATACATGTAATTTATCCCGGCGAATACTTACAAAAAAACTCTGTAACACTTTTTACGAGTTTGTGGGTTTTTTATGAAGCCGCACTGTATTTAAAAATCAGTTTGTAATACATTGTTGTAGTGATTGCTGTGCTGTTTTCGAGAATACATTCAGTAGCCGTATTTCCAAGTTTTCTTTTGAAAATGACGCATTTATTTAGCAATCGTGAATATTATGTTTTGCACTTTTTCCCTAATAAACAAATAAAATAACTTCGCGGTTTTTAACTTTTGAAAGAAGTTATATACACTATCGAAAGCTCGTAAAAAATCTAAATTGAAAAAAAAGTTTCTACGACTAATAGGTCCAGAGTGCCTTTTATTTGTTAACAATTATACAGGGTGATTCAGTCATAATGTAATTAATTTTAACCACGTATTCGGAGGGCTTAATAAAGACAGAAAATCGGAAAAAAAATTTTCTCGAAGTCAACTCGTTAAAAGAAAATATGTAAAGCTGAGGTTTGTAGGCACACCGTATTTTATGAAATAAAAAAAGTCGGCACACTAAATACCCGATTATACAAAATACACTACACACGGTTACAAAACCATTAACAATTTAAAGCGTTTATTCAAATCTACCACCCTCCATATCTCCCGCATTTTTCCCGCAAAGGAGTTAACATAACACATTTTCAAAAAGTTCAAGCTTTAGAAGCATCTTACTTCTCCAATCGTCTTGAATTTTGCAATTGGTTCCTAAATCGAAATGCAGCAGAACAACTTTATTAACAAAGTGCTCTGGACGGATGAATGCTGTTTTACTCGTGCTGGCATTTTAAACAGGTAAAAAACATAAGTATTGCTTTCTCAAAAACAATTAGTACCTACCTTGGTTACACGAAAGTTTAGATTTACACTAAAGTTTACATTTATTATGTAAACTTTGGTTATACGCAACTTCATATTGAATAATAAATTGAAATACTAAAACTGTGTATTATTTAACATAATAAATTATAAAACATGAAAACGTTAATAACATTAAAAATAATAAATTGTAATAACCGTACATTCGAAAACAATCATCCCTATTCATTACATTCGATTTGATGACACGATTTTCCTTTGATAAAAGACCGACAACTTTTTGCTCTACAGGAGGTCAAAATACTCTAGAATAAGTTGTTTGCAGTCGTGGCACTCTGAGTGGCAACGGAACCCTGTTTGGCTCCTAGACTATAGTGCAGGTGCAAATTAGATGGTTAGTGATCTCGACACAGGTTAGCCTAGGTCGGAAACACATACCGAGTTGTTTATTTGCCTCCGTCCGATTGTTTTTTTATCTTCTATTACTTACAGTCGATATTTAAAAACTACATACATTTCACCCTCTCTTTATAATTTATGTAGTGAGTGTTGGCTTTTTATGTCATTAATTCTGTTATGAAATCAGAGGAGATTCGGTTTCAATGGGCAGGAATATATGGCGATCGTTTAATTGGGCCGCATTCTCTACCTGAACATCTGAATGGGCCGCATTACTTTACAATTTTTACTAGAAGGCTTAAAGCAAATTAAAAAATTATCACTATGATGTTAATAAAAAACAGATTTTTGGCAAGGCATGCTCAGACCTCTTCGAGGTTCTTGCTGCTCTTAAAATTGAGTGACTGTATCACCCTGTATACAACTAAATTTGAAAAAAAAATAATTTTTTTTAACTAGAGACTAGACTTTAACTTGGTGTCCCTTCGAAGAAAATGAGCCCAAAAATAATGTTTTAGTCATAACCCTGCCCCCGGAATAGTCATTTGAAAATGGGCCTTTTTTGCAAAAATGGGATAAATAAATGGAATTTTGTAAAAACTATTTGACCGATCGAGCCCATCATTTGCGCATCTCTTAAGGATATAAAAACTTACACTTTGGGAAAATTTGGCAAGATTTTATTAATTATTTAAAAAGTTATTAACAATTAAAGAAAAAGCACTTTTTCCGTATAATTTTGCAATTAATTTTTTGTTTATAAAGCAATTTTAACTTATAAGTTTCATTTTGAAGATGAGTTTCTCTAGATCAAATCGTCTGTCTGTTGAACATTTTTTGCTAAGATTAATAGTTTTGTTACAATAACGCATAGATCGAAAAATGACGAATTTTTGACCTATTTGTTGATAAAAAACAATGACGCTATAATTTTTTCATGACCCACGAGATGAGACGCCTCTTGTATTATCATTCCCAAGACTTTCCAACAATAAAATCACGCCCAGTAATTAATAAATTTCAAAATGTTTCCTTTCCTGGTCTGTTATATGTTCGGCAAAATATATGATACTGCATGACAGAGCCCCCGCTCAATTCTTTCGGAGAATGCGCGACTTGCCGAAGCTTGAAATACGACATAGTAATGTTGCAACGCGTATGAGCGAATTGGATACGTCACGCTGAAGCTTGTGTGCAAGCAAATGCATCGAACATCTATGAAAATCGGCGATTCTCAAAAGGTGGCTCCTTCCCATGTTGAGGTTAAGTCAGGTGGTAAAATTACATATTACTCAACACAAATCCGTGTATTTATCTCATTTTGACATAACGGACATATGACAAAAATATTTGACACAAGTTGATTAACGCTCGTATATTTGCCACACTTTGTAACATGTCTGAAATAAATTTTATGTAATGCGGCACATATTTTACAAAATGCTATTCTCTACCGTAATTATTTCTGTAATTCTCGAGAAAAAAATTATATACCAACTCCTGACATATTTAGGATAAGTCGGTTTGTCATTTGGGGCAATTACTGTATTGTTGAAGTTATTAATGACCAGTACTTATTTCACATTTATAATACCTGCAATGAATAATAACAAAGTTTAGGATACAAACAAATAATAGAAGGAATTAGGTGTATAAGTTAATAGCTTCCTTTATCATTAATTGAAAACATTTCGAGGAAAATGGCAAGGAAGTACGTGAAAAGCCCTGTCAGTTTCTTACTTTATTACACATCGAGATTATTTCACCTGTATCCTTTAAATTTTGACATGCACAAGAAGCGCAAGTTTAAGACTATCCATTATTTCAGTTTGCCTTGCTTAATAGCTCTTTTTACTGGTGTTTTTGCTTGGAATAACAAATTGAAGTACTCGCATTTCTACAAAAAAGGGAACATTTCATATAGTATCATAGATTTCACAATAAATTTAACTCTGACCTTGTACAACATATCTTGTATGATAATAGCACAAAGGTCAACCAAACAGTGGGATCTATTTTTTGCACCTCTGTTAAAAAAAGTGAAGAACGGGGACTATGTAAAAACTAGTTACGTATTTTACTTTGTTCACGTGATTCAGATTTTATGGATATTTCTTGAAATGTATATAACATCAACTGATAACGTCAGCATCTTTGCGCCATTTTTTCTGGGATTGATGGACAAAGTTAATATTTACGTCGTGCTAATTTTAGCACTGTTAATAAATAGCTATGTTACTTGCATAAAGGAGAACGTTGTTTTAGTTAAAACCAAGCTTCAGCGTGAAGTTATGTTGTTGACGAAGCTCAAAGGTCTCGAGAAGAATGGAGTTGCTGCGTTTGAGAAGTTTATCTCGCTCTCTGAGCTAGATGACGTTTTAGATTTCGTCGTCGAAATCTCGAAAGGAATAGACGCTTTCAATAAGATATACGGGACGCAGATATTGGGGCTGTCTGCTATTATCATGATGTACATAACCAATATGTGCAGTTCTATATTGGTTTTGGATATTTTTTTGGTGGTATTGGTATGTGTGAAAAGTTATTTCTCTATTATGCTCCTGGTAAGCGAATTAATTTATGTATTTATTTAACTCCGTGAGGATATTTCAAATCAATCAAGTAATTTTATTTATTTTTTTCATTACATACTTTTTTAAAACTTGCGAAATCAATTAGTTTACAACATAAATTAGTTTTATTTGCAATTAGTAACGTATCTACATACCAATATTAGTTAATGTTTAATAAATAATGTACAAAATTGTAGTTTTTAAAAACATTAGAATGTTTCTTTAATGTCAGGCGCTTTTTGTCCACATTGATATCGAAAAAATATGGTGACTTTAAAATAACACGTTGCTAAATCATACAAACGGCAGTCTGTTTTATTAAATTACACAGTCACACAAAAAAAGAAAAGTAGTCTGTACTTTTCATGCGACATATGTTATTTGTAGCACTCCTGATCACGATTCCGGTGTCAGTATTGAGCTATCACATCACAGGAATTTCCTAACCTCAAAAAACAAGTAAAAAATAGCAAAAATTCATGAAAAAGTTCTACAAAATTTTTTTTTTCTATATTTAAATGTTCATTTATGTACGAGTAGTTATTAAGACTCCGCCAAACGTGAATCCGCGGTCAGCATTAATGGTTCTTTTTCTAACCTCAAAAAAACGGGTCAATTAATGTCAGATATCACGAATTTTCAAACAATAACAGATTCGCGCCAAATTTGGTATACGGGGGTTTTCTAGGTCGCTGATCACGGATCCGATTTGCAAAATTCAAGATGGCGGATCCAAAATGGCCGACCAAATTTTCAAATAATAACAGAATCGCAGCAAATTTGGTATACGGGGGTTTTCGTGGTCGCTGACTACGTATTCGAGGTCAGAATTGCGAAACTCATTTTGTAATATTTTACTTTATAACCTGAGTACCCAATCATGTGTTAATCTACTTTTTTTCGGCTATATCTTGTTCTTTTTTCTGTAAAAGATCTATTCACGGGTTGAATTTTGTAAATCTCATCTCGGATTCAAGATCAGTGACCTCGAAAACCTCCGTATACCAAATTTGGCGCGAATGTGTTATTTTTTGAAAATTTGGTCGGCCGCCATTTTGAATTTTGCAAAATTGACCTCGAATTCGTGATCAGCGACCCCGAAAACCCCCTTATACCAAATTTGATGCGAATCTGTTATTTTTTGCAAATTTGGTCGGCCATCTTAAATCCGCCATTTTGAATTTTGCAAAATTGACCTCGGATCCGTGATCAGCGACAACGAAAACCCCCGTATACCAAATTTGGCGCGAATTTGTTATTTTTTGAAAATTCGTGATATCTAACCTTAATTGACCCGTTTTTTTGAGGTTAGAAAAAGAACCATCAATTCTGACCGCGCATTCACGTTCGGCGGGGTCTTAACTATATAAATGAACATTTGAATATAGAAAAAAAAAATTTTCTAGTTTTCCTAGCACGTTTTCGTAAATTTTTGCTATTTTTGACCTGGTTTTTGAGGTTAGGAAATTCTTCAATTCTGACACCGGATTCATGATCAGGAGGCAAAAATACTACTGATAACATATGTCGCATGAAAAGTACATACTACTTTTCTTTTTTGTGTGGTTGTGTTATTTTTCAATATATTTATTTTTCTGAAAAGAAAGGTTACAATTTTTAGAGTAGATTGAAAAAAAAATTATAAAAGTCATTCATTTTTCTGCTCGTTCTGATTTTTTAAATTTCTGAAATCATCCCTTACCTTCTAACCACCCTAACTTTGTTAATTTTACAAGTAGGTACAAGAAAAAGTCATTTGACCATTTTTGTGTATAATTTTATACTCTACAACTTTTATAAGAAACTTTTTTCTAGCTCTTACCTCTTTTGAATTATCTTGAAAAAACCCTTTATTTTGTTTTTTTCACCCATGGACTGGGGGTTGAAAAAAATTACTGTCACTTATTGTTATTATACATATACCTCAAACTAACTTGTATGAAAAATTCAGGCAAATTGACCAAACTACGATTTAAAGGTCCATTTAATACTGATTTGATTATTTTGAGAATGGAGATCAGAAAAACATTGTCAAAATATTCGAATTAGTTTTTAATTGGCAACGCCTAGTTACTAATTTTTGTGGTATCAAATTTGGAGAAAAGTTGTTACCGATTTTTTATTACTCACACAATTACAATCATTGGTTTTTAATATCTCGTTTGTCTAAATCATTCCAGTAATTCTCTTTCATTTTTAGGTTTGCGGGGCACTCACTGTGACCCCGTGCTTTGAAACCAAGAGAAAATTCGACGAAATCATAAAAGTCATCTGTAAACTTCTGATAGAACTACCTCACGGTTTAGAAGATCCTCGTTACAATTTTGTAAAGGAAAAACTCGTCCTTCTGATAAAACAGTTGGAGTTTAGAAAACCGTACTTTTCTGCGGCAGGATTTTATGAAATAAATCACGGCATGTTTATGTACATATTTGGCGGCGTTACTTCGTTTGTTGTTGTATATTCACAACTTCAGTACAAGACATTATAGAGTCAAATATAATAAGCTCACAAACACCAAAAACTGTATGTTAATAGTAACAAAATTATATAAGAGTTGAATTTATTGTTCAAATCAAATAACCAACTATTTATATTTTTATTTATACACAAGTGTGAAACTGCTTTTATAGTCACTTTGTCATATTCAATTTAGAATACAAACAAATAATGGTAAAAGCACCTTTTAAGTAATTACCTACTTACATTATCGATTTCCACCTCAACCACAATCCATTTCAGAAAAAGATGGCAAAGAAATACGTCCAAAACCCTGTCAACGTAAAACATTATTATATATCCAGAATATTTCATCTGTATCCACTAAATTTTGAGTTCCACAAGAGGAGAAGGTTTAGAGTTATTTATCACATCAGACTGCCGCTTTTGATAGCTTGCATTTTGGCTACATTTGCGTGGAACTACAGGAATAAATATTTGTATATTTACGTCAATGTCAAAGCTTCTTATGGTGTGTTGGATTTCGCGATAAACTGGTGCCTAACGTTTTACAACATATTCTGCATGATAATAGTGCAAAGATCTTCAAAACAATGGGAAACTTTATTCAAACCCTTATTCAGAATCACCAAAAGGAAGAAGTACACAAAAAACGACTACTTGTTTTACTGCTTGCATATAATACAGATGGTATGGATTCTTACTGAATTATACATTTATCGTTCTTATGAACCTATTTCTATTTCGCTAGTTGATAAAATGAATGTCTATATGGTGCAAACTACAGCATTACTAATAAATTGCTACGCAAGTTGCATTAAGGATGATATTACCTCAGTCAGAGATAGAATACAGCAAGAACTAACGCGGCTAACTAATCTCAAAACTACCGAGAAAAGCGATCTAGATGTGTTTGAAAAATTTACTGGCGGCTCCGAGGTAGACGATATCCTTTATTTCGTTATTGAAGTTTTCAAAGCAATAGATGCTTTCAACGCGATATACGGGATACAGATACTTGGACTGTCAGGTCTTCTTATGCTGTTAATGACTAACACCTTAAATTCGGTCCTAATTTTAATTTTGCATTTAAGCACCTGGGCTGCCGTTCTTGGCGTCAAAAGTTATCCATCTGTTGCATTAGCGGTAAGCGACAGATTTTTTATTCCATTGGAAAAATTCACTATATCACTGTTTATTTCTTTTTCAGATATACGGGGTCTTGGTGGTTTATCCTTGTTTTGAAGCAACGAAAAAGGTCGATGAAGTGGTCAAAGTCGCTAACAGGCTCTTGATAACACTGCCGCACGGTTTGGAGGATTCTCGTTACAAAATTTTAAAGGAAAAACTCGTCCTTTTAATAAAACTGTTGGAGTTTAGGAAGCCGTACTTTTCCGCGGCGGGGTTTTATGAAATAAATTATGGCATGTTTGTGTATGTATTCGGGGGAGTTACCTCTTTTGTTGTTGTGTATTTACAACTTCAGCACATGTAATATTTTTTTTTAAACAGCATAACTAAGTATAATACTTTCACGGGCAATTTTTCAGAGTTTTTTTCTTGGACACCCTGTACTAGCGAACTTAATATTCTCGATGGCATATTTGTTATAAAAAGAAGCAAAATTTTTTATTAAGACTGACTTTTTCCCATGAAGTGAAATTAGAAACATTTTGTGACTTTTTCTAGACTAACTAGACTCTGTCTTCGACTTTGTGTTTATATAAATTTTGAAGGAAAGGAGATATGTGTCCTTTCAATATAGGTAACGATTGATAAAAATATAATTAATGATTTTTTGTTCGTAATATATTTCGATAAATAGTTTTGATAAGAGATATACAGTACGCGCCTAAAGTATGGAATAAATTCAGTAAAAAAAAACAAATTTATTTTGGGAAAATTCTCCTTTAATTTAAAAAATACATATTTTAGCATAAAAGGCGATTTTCAACCGTCATTTGTTTTCGAGTAATGACGTCATCGACATTTTTTTTAAATAGCAACCCCCTATTTTTTATCTTGATTGTGCAAGATCGTTTCATTGTCGATGCGACACTATTAAAATGTTGCCATCTTACATAGGAAAGTTTTCGAAAATGGCGATCGAATATTAGAAAACGTAAATTTTATTCATTAAAAAAATTACAATTCCTATGTCAAGCAAATACAATTTATTAAGTTTTCTACCTAAATTAAGTTTTCGAATTGCCACCCACCGACTTCTTGACAATACGCAAGTCGGTGTAGAAATTCTTCTTGCACATTATGAATTATTTCTGGGGTAACTCTGTGTATTTCATCTGTAATACAATTTTAGAGTTCTTCTAAATTATGTGGTCTATTAACGTACACTTTGGACTTTAAGTAGCCCCATAAGAAATAGTCCAGGGGTGTAAGATCTGGGGATCTCGCGGGCCATTCTATCGGTCCTCGTCTGCCGATCCACCTCCTAGGAAAACAATTGTCCAGAAAATCTCGAACAGGCCGCGCATAGTGCGGAGGTGCACCGTCTTGCTGAAACCATATGGTGTCATCAGGAATATCAGGGTCATTATCGTTAGGAAAAATTACTGCAAGCACTGGAACAAGGTCATTTTGTAAAAACTCTAAATATCTTTCTCCTGTAGGAAGCCTTTGAAGGAACCCTTCAAAGAAGAAAGGCCCTACTATTCTGTTGTTAAATATTCCAGCCAACACATTTAATTTCTGTGGGTTGTGTCTCTGCCATTCAATGAGGATTTTCCCGACTCCAATACTTGCAAGTTTGACGGTTCACTGTACCATTGAGACAAAACGTGGCCTCGTCTGAATAAAGTATTTGCCGGTGTAAATCTCTATTTACTTGACATAAATCCATCATAATTTCACAAAAGTGTAAGGGGCGGTCGGCATCGTCTTCATTGAGTTCCTGCACAAATTGAATTTTGTAGGGATGATATTTTCCTGCCTCACGATACGTAGCACTGTGGTCTGACTAATTTCATTGTTTAATGCAACAATCGTGAAGTATTATGAAGATTATCTACCATACTTATCAAAATGTTCTATTTGTGATCTTCACTAACGCTTGGACGTCCAGGTTGAAATATTTACAACATTACCAGTTTCTCTAAATTTAGATTCTATCTTACTGACTGCTGATTGGCTGATACGGCGATCTGGATGTTTTTCATTATATAAATCGCAAACTTCCTGTTGCGTTCTGGTCTTATCCCCGCATCCGATAAGAATTAACATTTCCATTCTTTATGTGACAGTTAAATGTGCCATAATACTTTAAATTCAACAATAATTTTTTTCCACGGTCGGGAGTAGAAATCAGTTTCTATGACATCAAAATTAAAACAGAAGTAGTCGATTATTCCCAAGGGAGTATAATGCTCCCAAGGGAGTTTACATTATGGAGAACGTTTTTCATGCAAAAAAAAGATAACATTGAAATTATTTATTGACATTTAAATTAAATGTTACATTTGTACAATTTTCAAAATTAATATTAGAAGGAATATTACTTTCGCTTACATTTACAGTTTTTGTGATTGCGCTAGTAGTGGTACCTACTAAAACCTGATTAGCAATTTTGGTCTTATTTTCAATGGAGTTCTCGACATAACCCTCAGCGACTGTCGTTGATTTCCAACCAGCATGACGCTTTATTGTCGTGATATCCACACCAGCATCTGCCAGTAATGTCGCTGAAGATCTTCGTAAGCAGTGACCAGTATAACATGCAGCATCAGGTAATTTTAAATACGAAGCTACTACACTCGGAATTTTTCCCATGGTATTCTTGCCAACTGGCTGCGAACTACATTTTCCTGCTTTGTAGTACAAAAAAAGGCGCTTATGCTTGACGTGGGGAGGACGAAGGGACAGGTATTTTCGAAACAATTCAAGCATATTTCCCACATCGGTAACCACAAAGGTTCGTGGAATCTTTGTCTTAGTGTTTGGAATTTTTACAATCAAGGAAGAGCCTACATCCTCAATATCATCTACAGTTAAATTGACTAGTTCATCAGTTCGACAAGCTCCGGCAATCCCCAGAATTAATCCAACCTATAAAAAATCAAAATACTTAATAATTGAAATACCTAACAACAAAAGTAATCTTACCTTAATCATTAAGAATTCTTTGTCATCTGCACTTGATAGAAAACGGTCGATTTCACCCTTTGTCAATATTTTCGATTTTTTCGCTTGATATCCGTCACCGGTTCTTTTCAAAAATGCGATCAGCTTGGGGAATTTGCTTATATCTATGTTGTCGTAAATTATCAAGCATGACTTAACCATAGAATATTGCGCCCATAATGTGGAAGACTTGTAATTCTTTGCATTTTCACTGAAGTATGCCAACAAAACATTCTCGCTGTATACTTGAACATTTTTCTCGGCGCACCACTTTTTGAACCGATTGTAGGCTATATCGTATAAAGATCTTGACTTCGTAGGCAGCAAATTGCTTATTGCAATATTTGCAGCCTCCACAATCTCTTCCGACTCACAATTATTCATTGTGCACTAAACAAACTTTAAACTAAACCAAACTAGCACCTTAATTTGACAATTCTTTTTGTTTGTTTATTTTGTAGTTATGACAATAACTCAACGACTACTAAATAAATGCTCAAATCCGAATACAATAATTCTGGTGCTACTTACTTCATAATGACAAAATATGTGTTTTTAAGTTAATGAGACCGTGGAAAAAATAGTATATACCATTCGGGAGAGATGCTATTTTGTCCTCGGTGCATTGTAGCCCTCGGGCTTCAAATTGCACCTCTGCCAAAATAACGCATTTCTCTCCCTTATAGTATAATGTACTATTATATCGCTTACAATACTTAGAAAGTCAGCGTGAAAGTGACACTTTGTAAAGATTTACACCTACGTGATCCATAAAAAACTTCAGGCATTTCGAAAAACTAAATTTGATAACGTTTTTGCTTTATTTTAATTGATTTGGGTTTTCTAACATTCAATCGTCATTTACTCGAAAACTTTCCTATGTAAGATGGCAATATTTTAATACTGTCGGATCGACAATGAAACGATCTTGCAGAATCAAGAAAAAAAATAGGAGGTAGCTATTTAAAAAAAATGTCGATGACGTCATTACTCGAAAACAAATGACGGTTGAAAATCGCCTTTTATGCTAAAATATGTATTTTTTAAATTAAAAATCGACCTGTTCGAGGAATTTTCCCAAGAAAAATTTGTTTCGGTTTTACTTAATTTATTCCATACTTTAGGCGCATACTGTATATGACACACATTCATTCTTAATTGTTCAACATTGAGGACATTTTTAAATAATAAATACATTCGAAAGTCCTAGTCATAAAAGACATACATTAAAATAATGTGGCACGTGGCAACCATTGTTTCCATCTGTCTGTATTTATGATTTATTAACATTCAATACCGAGCAATTAAATTAATATTAAGTACAGTCATTTGTCACAGACTTTAGTCAAAATGTTGCTTCTACATAAACAAGGACCTGGATTGAAGCTTGTGGAATACATTTATTTATTTTTGGGTATCTCAACACTCAAGTCAAGAAAACCATGTCTGGTAATTTTCAATAAAATTTACGTTATACTCCTCTGTATCCTTTTAGCTATTTATTCTGGGTACAGTCTTTATGCTAGGATTGTCGCTTTCTACCACTTCCTGATACCAACTATTAAGGTTTTGGATTTACTTGCATATTCTGTCACTAGTGCATCGAGCTTATTTTTCATTACATTCGCAACACACGCCAGGCGAAATAGCATAAGAAAATTAGGCACCGACTTGGACAACCTAGAACTTACATTCATCAGAAGATTTCGATTCAGAAGAGACAAATACCACGGCAAGATATTCTTCGTTGCCTTTTTATTGTACGAAGCATGGTTGTTCGCTTATTTTTACTACAGTTACAAGTACCTTTACCGAACACATATTAATACACCTTATTACATAAATACTTACATCATGTCAGCCTTTGTTCTGCAAATAGCCAACCATTTGATTAAATTGAGAGTTTTAATAAGGTTCTTTAACGAAAAACTAAAAGAAAATTTGTATCTACTAACCAGCAACTCCAAACAAGTGAATATGTACGTTTTTCTTAAAACCTACTTCAGTATATGGAGCTTGATAGAGGCTGTTAACTATTCTTATGGTTATCAAATAGCTTTTGTCACCCTCACAATGGTGGTGATATTTCTGAATGATATAAATTTTTTCGTGAAGACATTTATGGACCTACAGGTTGACAAAGTTAATTGGAGATTGAGAGCTGTAGGGTCGTGGTGGGATACTTGTATATTTATGGTAAGGATTGAACCATTAGTCTGTACAATTTTTGAACAAAATTCGAATTAACT